AATTGTTTTATTATCCAACAAATATGTTTGACAGAAATATAGTGAAGCTATCATTTTGTCCTTACATTAAGTTTCAGTAGCAGGGGTTTCACTAGAATTTCTCACAACAGGCTAAATAAATGAAAACAACAGGCAAAATTAATGGAAATCATAAATTTAACATGGAAAAATGAAAAGTCCCTAAAACCAACAGGCAATTTTGTGAAAACAACTGGTGAAAATCGTCTGTTTCCTGCTGCTAATGAAACCCCTGAGTAGACTAATATTTTTGGAAAAATCTTTGTTTACTTGGGTTTTGATCACATTTAGAAAATCCTAAACTGTGGTCATTATATACTGATAGTCAATTAGCGAAGATGAACCTCTCTTTTAAAGGAGCAAAATAAAACTGTTAAAAAGGGATGTTGCAATGCAATAAGTAATGATAACACAGATATCACCAGTTTATAAATTTTATGAATGATGAGTTACTTGTAATGTTGTATTTTTTATGAATGATGGTCTATTTGTATTAATTTCTGAATAAATTCAAATTGAGGAAATACTGAAGCCAAGAACGATTTAACAAATCATATTTTTGTCTTTTGTGGTTACATTCTCAAGATAAAGATTCAAAAATATTTGATATTCTTATCGTTTTTAAAGCTCTCTAAAGAGGCTATTTTTAAAAGAATTTAACGTAACTAATAGGATTACACCTTCAAGACTATATATTTGATTCCCCTTGAGTGGCATCCTTGTGTGGTTTAGTAAGTCTGAAAAATGTCAAGGTTCACAATTCACAATAGAGTAGAAAAGAGTGGAATCATCAAGAAACAAAATAAACAAGCATGTAGTTAACACTCTAAATTGTATGGAAATGCAAGAAAATCAAACACTTCATTCAAATTTTAGAGAGAAAAGAGTGGAATTAGCAAGGAATAAAGTAAACAGGCATGTAGTTAACACTCTAAATTGTGCAGAAATGCAAGAAGATCAGACACTTCATTCAAATTTTAGAGAGAAAAGAGTGGAATAAGCAAGGAATAAAGTAAATAGGCATGTAGTCAACACTCTAAATTGTAGAGAAATGCAAGAAAATTATGTACTTCATTCATTATTTAGAGAGAATTATTTGAAATAAGCATGAGCAGACGGACATTTGAAAACATTGAGCAGGCAAATGTAAATTTTATGGTGGTTATATAATGTAAAAAGGGTAAATGAGAGTGGAATATGCAAGGAATAAAGAAAACAGACATGTGGTCAACACTCTAAATATGAAAAAATGAAATATAGAAATTCAAGAAAATTCAGTAGTTCTCTCAAACGTTATGGAAAAAGCATGACCTTGACCTTTGGATCGAGAAGCAAGAACATCATTCATCCATTTAACTTTCATTTTTAGTTACAAGAGTAGATTCGTGATTAGTATCTCATTTGTCTGTCCTGTTCATCAATCATTTTTGGACAGATCAAAACTACCATTCATCAGAACCCATGCCCATTTTTATGGGTCAATGCGAGTAACTTACTTAAAGAGAGAATCAGATATAGCGAGCAGGCTAAACAAAAAATTGTTTCAATTTTAAAATATTTTTGCCTCATGTCATTCCTTGTCATGTCTATTTTCTAAAAATCACAAAAGTGCATACTTTATTCCAGGAAAACTAAAGATTTTTACAATAATGTATTATTTTTCTATAAGAATGGTAACCATGCATTCTTATTATTTGGGAGAGTTTAAACATTTTTCACTCATTTTTGCACTTTGAATCATTAATAACTTCACCAATTTATAACAGATCGTGAATCTTTTGGGAGATATTGTATTTGATATTGTAAGGAATAGATTGGTAGGTCAATTATACATGTTGCTTGTAATTTTGTCACCCCCTATATATCAGATTCTGCCTTTAACATCACTGCCCTGGGTTCTTTTTTCCCATATTAGGATAAATTGGCTTTTAACCATTTAAGTCCACCTTATGCCATTTAACCCCATCTTATGGCATACCAGTTTGATTTTCAATCATTATGAAAACTTCATAGCTTGATAATCCAAGATGAACTTATGGGGCAGGAGATATATATAGGTTATTTACTGGGAGGGATTGAATATGGGTTTTATTCCGAGGGACAATATGATATTGACCGAAGGGTAATATGATATTGACCGAGGGAGCGCAGCGACCGAGTGTCAATATCATATTTCCCAAGGTCAATATCTTATTTTCCGAGGAATGAAACCCATATTCAATCCCGACCAGAAATAACCTATTTATTCCATAATACATCCTCTAAAATGTTACATTTTGAAAATGCTTTTATCAATTAGCTAAGGTTAAAAATAACAGGAAAACCAAAAATAGGTTAGTACGTTCCAATACGATTTTTTTCTCGGGGACAATACAATTTTTTCATGTGATACGCTCCAATACGATTTTTTTCCCGGGTACAATACAATTTTTTCATGTAATACGATTCAATACGATTTTTATTCCTTCATATTTCCCTGGGAAAACAGTAGTATTATGGAATAAATTGGAACCTCTAATGGCATTATCTAATAAAAATCTGAAATAACCTTTTCAATTCAATCATAACATCCCATACATTTCTATTATTTATTCATACAGGATGACATCCCATGAGAAATAATGTCAGGATGGTCATGATTTGAATTGTAAAATAGAGTGTGAAAGAGTAGAATAAGCAAGGAATAAAGTAAACAGGCATGTAGTCAACACTCTAAATTGTATAGAAATGCAAGAAAATCAGACACTTCATTCAAATTTTAGAGAGGAATGAGTGAAATAAGCACGAGCAGACGGATGTTTTAAATCTGATACTGATGATGGAATGTTACAGTTTATATTTACTCTTCATTATTTCATTGTTTATCAGACTTGTAAGCAAATATCCTCAACATGAAATCAAATAATTCTTAATTTTCTGATTACCATTCCCTATTGATGTGAATGACAAAGTTAGCTATATTCAATATTTTTATAATTGGCAAGAAATGGATCAGAACTTACTCAACCTTTCAGTTTATTGTGATTCTGTAGTGTGTTAATTGTAATGTTAATTAGTTTTGGGTAGGGGTTGAATAGTGAATACAATATTGTTCTCTGGATCTTAATCTGACCCTAAGTAGGAGGCCTTAATTATTAGGATTATTATTATTACCACCTTGCCGGGCCAGTTCTAGGGGTTCGAGCAATATGTGACGTCATAGTGGCAGTCAATGTTGCCGTTGACCAGAAATTTTCCCTGGGAAATTAGATATCATTCAGTGCATAAGACTTTCTTGATGTTTCAGTCCTGGTCATTAACGGTGGTCATAATACTAGTAGCGTCATTTTACCATATTGCCCCTCAAAATGACGTTATTGTATTATTAGATAAAGGATAAAGGATTAATTATTATTTAAAGACTGTAGATAGAACACTCCTTTAATTAACAAAATTAAACAATTGGAACAACAATCATTTGGAGCAACAAAGAATTTTTAGCCCTTAGCCATGCAATTTTTCACCATTTTGAGCGTCTGTTAAGTGTTTTGGGCCATTTTTGGGTCAATGTTGACAAAGTTGAGCCCCTCTGGAATTTTTGGAAAAAGTGACCCCCACTTGGCATAATCTGGCTACGGGGGAGGGGTTTAAGCGGACTTTAGAAAGTTTTTCCATCAAGTCAGAGCAACTTTAGCATCTCATACATTTGTCCAAACACTAAACAACTTTATATCTTTATTGCCTTTTATGAAAAAGGAGATGGAAAATATAGCACAGCAAAAACCTCTCTAGTCTGAACATTTCTGGGATTCTCCAAAAAGTTTTGAATTGGCAAATATTCATATTTCCATGTTTCTCAACATGTGAGACAAAGGAAGATTACAAAATTGCGACTTAGAAAAAGTGTCCATATTGAGAGATGTTTGGATATGAGAGGTGTTTGAATTTATAGGTTTTACTGTAGATTGCGTCAAGATCTTATACCCCCCTCCCTTTCTCTCTTACTGTTGCAGAGATGGCATGAAGGGAGGAGGGCAGGCCCGAGCCCCCCGAACCTCCCCCCCCCTAGCCAAAATTTCTTTCAAAAGCATGCAGTTTTTCACCATTCTGAGTATTTTTGGAGTGATTTTTGGCCAAATTTACCAAAGGGAACCCCCTAGATTTTTTGGGGAAAGTGAACCCCCCTTGGAAAATTTTGGCTACGGCCTGGAGGGGGTTCATACATGGTCTCGTTATAAGACTTAATCTTTACAAAAATGTTAAATTTATAGTTGATATCAGTTGTAGACTTCCATCAATACGCTGTATCCCCCTTTCTTTCCCAGAGACATGGAATACATGGTTGAACTTGTAAAGAGTCGTGTTCGAGAAATCATTGCTTTTTTGAAATATCTGTTCGTCTATCCAGGTGCCTCTACCTTAATTATTTATATGCCAGTATCAATTGGAAATCTCTCAAAGAAAAAACCAAATTGTTAGAACTGCTTAAAAATGCATGAATCCAGGTGAAAAGTAATTTGTCAAAATGACAAAGGTGTTTGTAATACCCTGATTTTGTTTTATTATGTGCGCCATCTATTAAATGTATGTATTGCAAATATAGTGAAATATAGTAAGGTTTGGATGTATTTGTTGTTTTTATTCAAGGGATAAAAACAATGTATTTTGTATGTAATTTCATCTATGATCATTTACCCCTGAATAAAATGACAGCATGGTTATGATTTCAGGGAAAAATATTAAACAAAAAGAGTAGTTGAAATCAATGAGAAATCAAATTGATATAAAGGCAATATACAATATCCTTAATTTCATCAAAATGAGATGAATTTGTTTTTTTGCATTCAAAATAATAGAAAAAATTGACCCCAAATTATTGCGACTACATAGTATTTTTTCTGTGAGCATTTTAGAGTACTAGAAAGTCGTAATTATTTTATTATGTAATATGTTATAAAAATGTATTGTGGCATATTAAGGAGAATGTTTTTGCCTACTTTCAGTATGGATGGTGCCGATCTGTGCTTTGAGATTGTACGACGTGCACTGGCTGGCTTTGTTTACAGTGAAGCTGTTGCCAGGTGAGTGGTTGCCATGGACACTGAAATTATACATCGTTCATATTTAATAAGATTACAGATACAACGTGGGTGATTTTTCATTATAACATCTAGCTTTGGTTGTCATGGTTTGCAGTAAAGTTTCTTCTAGATGAGTGGTTGCCATGACTACCATTGTATTATTCCATAGTTACATTGGAAATTATATATAATGTCTTTCTCAGTGGAGTTATTGTTTTGATTTTTTGTTGCTATGGTTTCTACAGTATATAAACTGGGTATGTTTCTAGGAAGCTGTCGCTAGTTGAGGGGTCACCATAGTTATAGTTTTGCTTGATATATTTACAGAGAGACTTTTGCAAAGTGAAAGTTTCTATGGTTTTTACAGTTGTATTTGTCATAGTTACAAAGTTGAATATATATATGCTCTTATTGGGCCCCCTTTTCCAACCATATTTCCAAATCAGAAAAAGTAACTCATCTGACATGCCATTATTGTTCTCGTGAAAAAAAAATTGCTTTTTTTTGCTTTGATCTTATTTCAGAATCAAAAAAAAATAAAATTAAGATCAACATTAAGTAAATTAAACAGGCATACAATCAAGTCAGTGAACTGTAAAGAAATTGAAGAAATCAAATGCTCCATTGAAATCTTAGAGAGAGTTTACACGCTGGCTACTTATAACCATCATCTATCACTTCAACTCACTCATGGGACATATCGTGTTTGAACTAACATATAATTCAAGTTCAAAGTACCCATATCTGGATCGCTGCGGATGCCGCCATTGTTATGTATCAATGATGTCATTGATGCCTTAAAATTGATGCCTGGGAAATGTCGCTATATAATCACGTCATACTCGGATCACAGAAATAGAACACATTTCACTGATATTTTATAACTATTTCTGTCCGCTTGACATTGTTGCCGCATGTTCATGTCCATATCATATCATATATTTGGAAAAGTTGTTTCAATATATTCTTCATAGAAATTGAATTGTTGCAATGTATTTTTTCAAATGTTTGTATTTATTTTCTCCAATGTGATATAGGGTATATAGTATAGGCTAGGTAGAAAAATCACTAAACTTATGAGATATCTGCTGCGCGATTCGGAAGTCATCGCATTATATACCACTTGAAAAATATCCACTAGAATTATTTTATATAATGATAATTCACTGGGTCAAAAAGGATAAATCTGTTCAAATCCTGGAGATGCTTTCTTGTATATTTAACCAATAAATGATGCATTAAAATATACAAAATGGCATTTACACATAAATGCATTACTGTGCATCAATGGGGATTTATTTAACTAAGATTAATGTGGCTAATATGTTGGCGTATTTGTGGTGAAAATAAGTAAGTTATATCATCGGCTGAACGCCTCCAACAAATAGTTGCATTTACCATATTTATGTAAATACACGACATACCATTTAAAATATCAAAATCTATGCTAATGTTCATTAATGCGCTGATGAGCATTTACGGCACATCATTATTAACCTCAAGGTATACGTCGGCAAATAGGCATACTGCCGCAATTGCTTTCTTACCTAATCATAAATGGTAGATTTCTTCAATCTGTAGTATTCTATTCAAATATGAATAGGTGCATATTGGAGAATGAAAGAATTAAAACAAAAAGTAGTAATCCAATGAAACAGTAACTCCCTAAAGTGTTTAGCCATTTAAATTCTGATGAAAAACGCAAACAAAAAAACGAAAAATCGATGTCGTCTAAATGATACGTATGTAAATGTTAAACTCCTAAATATTAAGATTGGCAATAGCTTTACAAGGACATGCCACTGTCATATTTTCAAAGAATAAAACGTAATGTTTAATTTTTCTCAGTTGTTAAACGACCAATTTCAATCATCATATCATAATTCGATATGACAAAAAAAGCTTTTCAAAATTCAATGGTATTTCACCTTGGATCATGAGAAGAGAAGGCTCATAACATTCAGTGATGCGGGGAGACGATGGGGTCGATTGTAGTATGATATTTCATTTCAACGACGATAAGGCAATTGCCGTATTGATAGTACGCCAATAGTTTAATATTTATTTTATTATATATTTATTTTTTGTTAAAAACAATTCCTGATTTCGAGCTCGAATTTAATTATATAACATCCGTGGTAAGTACAGTTCTACAGTATTTTCGAAATAATGATTTTCAATTTTATCGCATACAACCTTTTGTTTTTCTATATCGAAAAATAAGTGGAACTTTAAAAGCTTCAGTCACATTTGTTCAATGTGACCACACGTCGATCGTATTTCCCTGAAATCGGTAAATTTCTGCGGCAAACATAGGAAAACTACAGTTGACTTAACCTTTAGCAGACCACCGGCGACTGCGTCCGCCCATTCAAAACTACCCCCAGAATCCACCGGCGGATCCGGACGACACAAATCTAACTTTTGAAAACTTTACTTTTTCCCGCCGTTCTTATGATCCAATTAGATTGCCCGATTTATTCAGTCCTTAGTAGGTGACTTCCTGTTGACCTAGAAATGGCGATGTTTCGAAAAATATTTCTCAATTCAACAATTCAACAGTGTTTAAGTCGTTTTTAGTGAACAAATCGTACAAAATGACGGCCAAATACGATCACAACGAAAATGTGGAGGAAATGGATTGCGATTTCGAGCTCTTTAGGCTCTTGGAAGCCGATAATGGTCATCGAAAATAGAAACTAGAATATTTTCTGAACTGAAAAGAAGAACATTCGATCTCTGCAAATTCAGTTTTGGATTCTGACCAGACGTTGAATCTCCCGAGGGGCGAAACGGCGGATTCTGGAGGAGTATTCATGGTATATTCAAGCCAAGTCGTGTTTATGTACGAAAAAAATTCATGAGAACATTTTTCTCATGAGCCACGCTAGTGTATCTTCCCTTTGTGAAAATTTTATCCAGATTCATTCAGTAGTTATTGAGATATTAATTATTTAGTCCAGGCATATCATTTTTGAAAAATAAGTCAGATGCGTGGGATATATTTGCTGAAATAAGTCGGAGTGCAGAAGGTTAAGGTCACCTTGCTGTCTACGTACACGACATATCCAGTTTTTACAAGGCGTAGAGTCGGAGTTATAACTTTTCTTTCCTGTGGTCACCATAGATATCAACAAGCAGCAGCCAAACCGTAGGTCTCACGACGACGGCCGTTCGTCGGGTTCACGGTCGACTTGCGGCTGCGCTTGGATTTCATAGGTTACAATTGACCTTTTCGAACCATAGAACCCCTTGTGGATGCCTTCAAGAAAAACTACGCACGTCGTAGGGCCGCCCTACGCTGATCGTGCGTCATCATTTATCAGCCGTACGGGAATCGTAGTTTTTCCTCATAATCGAGATACGCCGTACGGCTATCTTAGCAAATGTGACTGCTAAATTATCTGACTGCAGGCAACCGTAGAAATCCTACTTACCACAGAAATGATAGACCGTATGGTCCCCATAAAAATGTGACGTGAGGCTAAGAATCCATGATAGTAATTGAATACGGTTTTTAAAAATGCAATGAATATTAAAGTACGAACACGTATTTTTGTAATGAGACTAGCAAATTAAACCATTGCATTCTTGGAAATTCAAGATGGGTTGGTTGAATTAATTGTATTATGTTTTATTCAAATAGTTTGCATTTGACTGATACAATTAGCATTCTCTGTTCGCATTTAGCGCTTGACCGAATAAAAGTTAAAAAGTCACGAATCCCAGATTGTTTCAAGTGTAAATAAAGAATAAATCTACCCTGCATTCCATGTCACGGTCTAGATAGGTAAAAAGCAATTCCAAAAATGCCGGCGTTAATATTCTATTGAAATCGTTCTTTATTATGGGTGGTATATACGTATTCTTTTAGTTCCTTTGAAATCATTTCTTTGGTTCATATTGGAATGGCAACAACTCGGCATTCATTTTTTGATTCAAAAATGGCGCCACAAAACTTTTGGAATGCCAAGGCATCAATCCGGCATCAATGACGTCATAACAATGTCGTAAAGAACCACTTTACGGTTGAAATGGCAGCTCCGTGGTCCAGTTCATATGCAAAACCCGGGGCTCGATAACAATTAAAAGGATAATGATAGAACAATAAAACGAAGTTGGATTGAAAGATGTATCTTTATTCTAACTTATTATCAAGTTTAAGGGACAAAACTTCGCATTCCCTTTAAGTCCAAAAGAACATTCATCTATAGTAGAATGTTGCATGATAACATCGTAATCAAGGCAAACTGTACATGTTCAGGAAATTTCCAATATTAAGACATCTTTCATGTTTAGTTGAGATAAAATTGAATTGTTGAAATCATTTGGGATATCAGGTCAGGGTGGCAGTTTTCGATTTGCTCTTCAAAATCTTTCAAATTTGCGAAACGTTTATTTTGACCTTTCGAACAAAAACAAACATTTTTCTCACTTTTCTAGAAGACCTTAAAGAAACATTCGTTAAATTGCAATGAAACTCAAATTTATAGATCTTTGACCCTCATTGATGTTAACTTAAGCGTTACTATTTATTGCTTTTCCATAAATATCTACAAATGACCATCAAATCATACTTACGGCACCCAGCAGTACTCTTTTTCTCATTATTTTAAGGTACCCAATACACTGAACATAAAACTTCATTATTTCCAGATATTTTTCTACACAGGCTTGAGCCAGGGGGGTTCGCTGGGTTCCAGCGAACCCCCCCCCCCCCCCTGGCCAAAATTCTTTCAAAATCATGCAGTTTTTCACAATTCTGAGCACTTTTTAAGGTGATTTTGGCCATTTTGGACCAAAATTGTCACAAGTAACCCACCCCTGGAAATTTTCTAAAAGTGAACCCCCCTTGGCAGATCCTGGCTACGAGCCTGCTACATGTTAGCTCTATACATTATTGTATATGATCTTGTGTTAAGTAGTTTATAGCACAAGCTCGCCAAACCTTGAAAAATGGCAATTCAACGGAGTATCTAATTCCAGTGAACATATTCATGAATCTGAATTGTCGCTTTGTGAGTTCATTTGGAATTTTCAGAGATGTTTCTTGCTGTGAAAAACTAGAAGTAATATTGCATTTTTTATCATGTTGGGATTATTTTGATGCCTGAAACTATATTTTTTCACCCAGTGCCATGGTATAGTTAAAAATTATTTATCAATAAGGCCCTTTGCCTATATTGATCTGTTTGGTGCAATGGGTTTCTCTTCAGAGTAACCCATTAATGGAAATATATTCTATGTAGCTTATATTTTAATCTGCCTTTTGGGAATCATTCTTTATGAGGTTTCGTGGCCATTTGGCTGATTCAATCGTAGATTTGTGGCAGATGATATTAAATCAGCGATTCTCCCTAGTAATTTTTATAAATGATTTATTTCCCCAGATATATATTAATATAACATTCACATAATGCAGCTTTGTAATACATCATTTTAAGCCACAATTGAAAAAATAAATTTGAACGGATTCAGCTGGATATACTCTGTACATACCCTTATGTCCAGTGGGTAGTAGAAATTATCGTGCTCTTACTGACATTGTATTCGCGAGTGAAAACTTTTGGCTGTCAGCTACCCGATTAATCTACAATTTTATGACCAACTCATTTAAATTTGAATGGAATAGTGGCAGGTACTATTCATATTTAAATGAGTTGCCAATGAAATAGTAAGTTAATCCGATAGCTGACAGCCAAAAGTTGCATTCGCGAATTCAAGCTTTTTAAAGCGTTATAGATCTCAATGACCACAAATATAAGTGTAATGATCTTTTATGAAAGTTTTAATATGGAATAAATGCTATCTACTTATGAAAGCACAAAAATCTGTGACTGCTTCTCTCATTTGTTAGCTAGATTCTGAGTGACCTATTATTATTGGTCGAGGCAAGTCCTTAGAAATATCCCATATTCAAAGAGATTTAATAAAGCTCTCTAAGAAGAAACACATTACATTATAAAAAGGATTGAAGTCTTGTCCATTCTACTATAATACATGTTGAGTAAATATCACTTTGATCCGTCTCCGGGGTCTCATATTTACCAGAATTCATGAACGTCATTTTGACCACTATTTTATCATCGATCCGACTCAGATTGTGTAAATCAGTTGTCTTAGAAAATCTAAATACACAGTGTACTGTTTCAAGTTTTGAGTTTGAAAATTATCATTTACACTGTATTAAATTAAGAATCCATCTGCGTCCGCTTGAGATTTTGAAAATAAATTTGCATCTACCGGGGAAACCCAATATGCACATACTTTGAAATAAGAAAAATCAGGAAAGTTGTCAACATTTCACCTGTTAGGCATTTGTTCACTCTACTATACCTTGCATTGGGTGTTCATGAGCAACCCTTTTGGCTTATTAGTAATGATTATGTTATTTGTTTTTATTTGTCTGTCCCTTATCAATGGTTTATCGGATGACGTTAGATGCTAATAAGGTACTTGCAAAAATATACTAAATAATGCAATTAGACAAACAGAGTATCTTATGCATTTCTAGGGGTTAGGTATAGTAGAGTGTTGTTTTGGTAGAGTTGATAAATGAGAAGTTTGCACCTAGCTGAAACCAAAAATCCTGGAAAAGATTGATGACAAGAAATCAGATATGTTGATTCAATCATGAAATCTCTCTGATGAAGTTGCGCTGTTATTAAGTGATAAATATGTTCTTTAATAGTATTGCTTGATTGTTATGTCATCACTAAGAATTGGTGAAAAGTTTTTTTTTTTTTTTCTAACTGACACTTTTTCATTGATGTAACAAATAGTTTTTTACAGTCAGTAGAGAGATTTTGCAACTCACTTATATTCCCATATAACATATAACTTATGAAGCGTCTGATTATGTAATCATTTATTATGCAGCTCTATATTTCCATAAGGGTGATATTCTTACGTATAGATGACAATTTATGAGAATATCTCACTTATGGACATATAAAGCTGCGAAATAAATAATGACGTAATCAAACCCTTCATAAGATACGTGTTATACAGGAATAATAAACATGATATAAGTGAGTTGCAAAATCTCACCATTTTCCAAAGAAGCTCTCTTACATAACCAACAGAAGAACATAATTTGATTGGCTGAATCTATGTTCTACCTTGAATCTGATTTGTTGAATCCATTATCTGTCTTGAATCTGATTGGATAATTTAATTTTTTTCAGTCATTACCTGCGGCAGATCCTAGTAGCTCTTTTATACTGTCACAAGTATAACATGAATCTGATTGGCTGAATTCATTGTCTACCTTGAATCTGATTGGTTGAATCCATGATCTGTCTTGAATCTGATTGGACAATTTAATTATTTTCAGTCATTACCTGCGGCAGATCCTAGTAGCTCTTTTATACTGTCACAAGTATAACACGAATCTGATTGGCTGAATTCATTGTCTACCTTGAATCTGATTGGTTGAATCCATGATCTATCTTGAATCTGATTGGACAATTTAATTTTTTTCAGTCATTACCTGCGGCAGATCCTAGAAGCGCTGTTATATTGTCACGAGTATAACATAATCCACAGGGACATGAAACCCCACTGCGTATTGCTTGCGTCAAAAGAAAATTCTGCACCTGTTAAACTCGGGGGTTTTGGAGTCGCCATTGAATTAGATGATTCTGGAAAAATATCTGGAGGTTTGTTCTTACTTTGCATTAAAATTCTATAACTGATATTATATATTATATTAAACAACATGAAATGTGTTAAAACAGTAGATAGTTACTTAATAATATTTGCCATCTAAAATATAAATAATATCAATAAGCATTGTTGATATTTATATTTAATATTTTTAAAAATTACATATTTCTGATCAATAGTATAATTTGGAAATTATGATAGATATGATGTTTTAGATGGTAAAGATTATAATACAAAATGTAGTTTATACTCGTACATAGTAAATGAAGCTTGCAATTTCTTAAACTTTTATACCATTTTGTCATTTTCCAGATGTACCCTTTCCCAGCCATTATGGCTTGCAGGTGTGGCATTGTACCAGAGAAGACCAATTTGGTAAAAATCACCATGCAGCCTAAATAATCAATTTTATCCCATTTTATTAACCCTGTGGTGTTTGTGGATTTCTGAAGGGATAAATAACCTTGTAATTAGGAATTCATTTCCTGAGAAACTTCTAGAAAGTTGATGCAGTTGATTTGAGAGTCTTTGTGAATGTCTTCACTGACCCCCCCCCCCTCCCCCCAGATATTGGGATGGGGGTGTTAACCTGGGGATTTCTCATTTTTGCAAGATTTCCAAATTTTTGCAAGATTTCAAAATTTTGCAAGATTTCAAAACTTCATATTACCTGTATGTAATTGCTTTGTTAATGTTTTTTGAGTTTATTCCATTAGTTTGCATTCTTTTGTGATTAAGTAAAGTTAAAATTATCCTCACAAATACTCTCCAATCATAACTACTCTAAATATTAAGCCTATATGAGCCTGGATCCATTCGAATCACCAATGTTAAATGAAAAAATACTTTTCAGAAGAGAATTAAAGAAATTCAGAAATGCACTCTTCTTTATTTTTGTATTCATTGGCTGTATTCAATTATGTGCAGGTTTGCTCCCATGTAACCCCACATTGGTCACATGACTAGAATCTAACCAATCATGTTTGAATTTTTGAACTGCTAACACTGTTCATTTTCGTTCATTTTCTTGCAATTAATCAATGTTTTATGATTGCTAAATATTCAACCCACTGTTTCCTAAGGCATTCCACATTCATATGCTAACATAATTTGTCAATTTTCTTGAATCTGATTGGTTGATTGTAAGATATCCTTGAATTTGATTGGTTGATTCTGGAATTTCTTCAAATTTGATTGGTTAATTCTAGAATTTCTTCAGATCTGGTTGGCTGATTCTAGAATTTCTTAAAATCTGATTATATAAACCCTGTATTTCCTTAACCATAATATTTTAAAATGCAGAACTCTGATTGGCTGGAGCACATATCTCTGTTAATCTGATTTGATTTTTCAAGAATGTGATTGGTTGATTCTTTAATTTTCTTAAACCTTATTGGTTCATAAGAAATGGAAGGTCTATTTAATATAACTTCCAAAATATTGCTGGAACCCAAATGTATTTTTGAATTTGATTGGTTAATTCAAAGAAATCTTTGAATCTGATTGGTCGAATCTAAGATATTCTTGAATCAAATTCATTTTATCAGAGATATTTTTAAATCCATTGGTTGAATCCAAGATATCCTTAAATCTTGACCACTGGATTAGGATATCTTTGTATCTTTATTGATTGATTCAAATATATCCTTAAATCCGATTGATTGATTTTAAGGTATTCTCAAATCTGAATGGATGAATTGAAGATATCTTTGAATCTGATTGGTTGATTTTTAAAGGTATTCTCAAATCTGAATGGATGAATTGAAGATATCTTTGAATTTGAATGGTTGATGATAAAAATATATTGAATCATTGGTTGATTCTAAGATATTCTTGAATCTCATTGGTTGATAACAAGATATGTTTGAACCTCATAATAAGATATCTTGAATCTAATTGGCTAAATTCAGATATCTGTGAACCAGATTGGTTGATTCTAAGCTACCAATTGGCTAATTCAAGATATAATAATTTCTAAGTGGTTCTTGGAAAATCTCATAATAAGATATCTGGAATCTGATTGGCTAATTCCAGATATCTGTGAACCACATTGGTTGATTCTAAGCTACCAATTAGCTAATTCAAGATATAATAATTTCTAAGTGGTTTATGGAAAACTGCACATATATTCATTTGACACTTACTAAAATAAAGCATTACATGTAAAATATACATTATTGCTTTTTAAAAGCATATCTTGAATTTTTGAAATAACTCTAGGTTATGTCCAGGTTCGAGCATTCTAACCCACAAACTTTAATACTAATGTTTTTCTTTTTTAGATGTGTTCATAACTGCACATAAAGTCCATTGGTGGACGGCTCATATACTTAAAGCCTATTGTTATGGCACAGATACCCTTTTTGCAATGTCAGAGACACTCTGTGTGGCACTGAAGAATATTTTAATGAGTCATATTTTATGGGTTTATCTCCAAATTGATGAAAAGAGTTAGCAGTTCAAGGTTTTTTTTCCAAAAATGGATAAAAATAAATGATAAGAATGAAATAATGTTTAAAAGAGTGAACATAGTAAATAGTGTAAACAAAAAGTAGTTGACTTTTAATTGTAAAGAAATTTTAGAAAACCAAAGTCCTCATCAAATTCCTGATCCAATCCATCTTTTATATGAAACCAATCCACTTGATCCGATCCACATTTTAATGCTTACCAAAAAAACATTTTTGACTAATACTGACCATATTAACAATGAAATTAATATTTATTTTATTGTTTAGGTCGTATTGGAACCCCCCACTTTATGGCCCCTGAGGTGGTACGAAGGGACCCCTATGGCAAACCAGTGGACGTGTGGGGCTGTGGTGTGATGCTTTTTATACTACTCAGTGGCCAGATGCCTTTTTATGGGACCAAGGATAGACTGTTTGATATCATACAGAGAAGCCAATATACAGTAAGCATGTATTTTATTGCACTTTGAAAGTGCTAAATTGTTGAGATCATTTTTTGCCTAGAGTGTGTCTTTAAAAGACAGGTTTTCACTAGAGAGGGGTTCACTAAGACAGTTTTTTTCTGTATTGTACATGCATTCAAAATTCCAACATGTTATCTGTTCAACTTGAAATGTTTACTGATACACGAGTAGACTCGTGCGAAAATCTGAATAGGTTTTTGGCATATGTGGCAGCTATTTTAAAGAGTGCCTTGTTTGAAATGAAGAGAAAATCCCGAAAAGGAAAAACAGGAAAACACAAACATGAAATATACAATATAATATTAAATGAAAATAAAAATGTCAAAATTGGGCACCAAACAAATTGAGAATATTGATAAAATCATGAAAGTATTATGTTAAGATTTTATTTTTATTTTTGCTCTTACTTTTACAAGAGTAGTGTATAAATTTGTCATTGTGACAGTGTGACATGTATTAAAATGTATTGTTAAAATGGTCAATTTTCTTTTTTAGATGAAACCTAAAATCTGGGATAGCATTTCCGATGAAGCAAAAGACTTAGTACATCGCATGTTAGAAGTCGACCCAGAGAATAGAATAACAGTAGCTCAGGCCCTACAACATCCTTGGATTAAGGTAACTTGCCACACATTTCACTATTTTGCCACATATAATATCACATCATAGCTTAGGCCTTGCAAGATCCTTGGATTAAAGTAACTTGCCACACATTTCACTATTTTGCCACATGTAATACCACATTATAATAATAGTAGCTCAATAATCAGTAGCTCAGGCCCTACAACATCCTTGGATTAAGGTAACTTGCCACACATTTCACTATTTTGCCACATATAATATCACATCATAGCTTAGGCCTTGCAAGATCCTTGGATTAAAGTAACTTGCAACACATTTCACTATTTTGCCACATATAATATCACATAATAGCTCAGGCCATACAACATCCTTGGATTAAGGTAACTTGCCACACATTTCACTATTTTGCCACATATAATATCACATAATAGCTCAGGCCTTGCAATATCCTCGGATTAAGGTAACTTGCCACACATTTCACTATTTTGCCACATATAATGCCACATAATAACTTAGGCCTTGAAACATCCTTGGATTAAGGTAACTTGTTTCACATTTCACTATTTTGCCACATATAATATCACATAATAGCTCAGGCCTTGCAACATCCTTGGATTGAGGTAACTTGCCACACATTTCACTATTTTGCCACATATAATATCACATAATAGCTCAGGCCATACAACATCTTTGGATTAAGGTAACTTGCCACACATTTCACTATTTTGCTACATATAATATCACATCATAGCTTAGGCCTTGCAAGATCCTTGGATTAAAGTAACTTGCCACACATTTCACTATTTTGCCACATATAATATCACATAATAGCTCAGGCCATACAACATCTTTGGATTAAGGTAACTTGCCACACATTTCACTATTTTGCTACATATAATATCACATCATAGCTTAGGCCTTGCAAGATCCTTGGATTAAAGTAACTTGCCACACATTTCACTATTTTGCCACATATAATATCACATAATAGCTCAGGCCATACAACATCTTTGGATTAAGGTAACTTGCCACACATTTCACTATTTTGCTACATATAATATCACATCATAGCTTAGGCCTTGCAAGATCCTTGGATTAAAGTAACTTGCCACACATTTCACTATTTTACCACATATAATATCACATAATAGCTCAGGCCATACAACATCTTTGGATTAAGGTAACTTGCCACACATTTCACTATTTTGCTACATATAATATCACATCATAGCTTAGGCCTTGCAACATCCTTGGATTAAGGTAACTTGCCACACATTTCACTATTTTACCACACATAATATCACATAATAGCTCAGGCCATACAACATCTTTGGATTGAGATAATATTCATAACCCTTACGTAATTGATCAAAAATGGATGATTTAAATTAAAAATCTATAAAAGATTAATTACAACTCACCATTGCAAGAGGAATATTTTTCAAAAGATGTCTCAAAGGTGTGCCTTATCCTGGCCATGCTAGAGACTACTCACATTAACTCCTCAACATACACAAAACTTCCTTGAGTTTGCCACACATTTTGCCACACATAGTTCCCATTTGATGAAGAAATCCAGAATTAGTTTAGCCTTGTATTTGGGTATAAAGAGTTATTTTTCATATCCTACTTTCTTAACACTTAAAATAATGGACTTTTTGTTTTTTAATTTACAGGACAGGAGTGTAACCCCTAAAACCCATATGGCAGAAACAGTTGAAGAAATGAAAAAATTTAATGCAAGAAGGAAACTTAAGGTAGTGAGATTTTTTATGTTGATTAGTTATCCGAAATCTTCAACTGATTAATTAATTAACTAATAAGGAAACTTAAGGTAATGAGATTTTTTATGTTGATTAGTTATCCGAAATCTTCAACTGATTAATTTTACGGCAGCCATCTTGCTTTCTGGGTCATCAAGCCCACAATGCTATATTACAGGTACAATATTGTTCACCCTATATTTTGATGCATTTATACAGTACCGATTAACCAACTCTACTTTCCTTCAAAGTCCATTTTCTACATCAAGGATACGGTCACGTACGAAATTTTTGGGTAAATTTGACGTTTAAAAGTTTTCGAAAGACAGTTTTGGTTTACTGTTTTGACTTAAACGCCTGGGCACCAATTACAGCAAATATGGTAAATTTAATAATATGTTATTGTTATTAAATTCTGGATTTTGACAAGCTGAGGATATTTTGATTTCCATTGTAATTTATTTAATCTTTGATGATAATTACTGTTTCACCAATTTTATGAAAAAATTCTTAGAGTTAAAATCAATCAACTGTATTGTGTCATTTTTGACACTTAATTATTATTGTGTCTGTGTCACTATTGTGGAGGATATGTTCAATATGAGTGTACCATTAACTCATTTACTTTTCTGACCAGTCTATCAGCTTAAATATGAATATTCAATTTGAATATGAGCCCAATATTTTAACATGTTTAGGTAAATGTATATTGATATTAATGAAGTATGTCATAAGTAATCTTTAAGTGATTAGTGATTATTAACCCCAGTAAACCATATTAAATGATAAAACCAATATTCAACCTAGATCTCTGTACATTGCGAAAAAGTTTAATGTAGATTTAAAAAAGTTATGATCTAAGTGACATCTTTATGACTCTCATTAAATAAATTCACATCATGGAGCATCCTATACATCGTTTGTGTCAATATATCCATATCTAGTCAAGCTACATTTATTTATTCCTTGCAAACTCCACTCTATTCCACTTATATTTTTAAAGTTGAATAAACTGCCCTATTATTTTCTTGCATTTCTATACAATTTAGAGAGTTAACTACATGCCTGTTTACTTTATTCCTTGCTGATTCCACTCATTTCTCTCTAAAATTTGAATGAACTGTCTGATTTTCTTGCATTTCTGTACAATTTAGAGGGTTAACTACATGCCTGTTTACTTTATTCCTTGCCGATTCCACTCTTTTCTCTCTAAAATTTGAATGAACTGTCTGATTTTCTTGCATTTCTGTACAATTTAGAGGGTTAACTACATGCCTGTTTACTTTATTCCTTGCTGATTCCACTCTTTTCTCTCTAAAATTTGAATGAACTGTCTGATTTTCTTGCATTTCTGTACAATTTAGAGTGTTAACTACATGCCTGTTTACTTTATTCCTTGCCGATTCCACTCTTTTCCACTCTATTTCAAAACATTTTCAACATAGACATTCAAGACCAGTTCAAATATTGACTTTTCAAAAGAACGTCACTTGTCTATGTACATAGTTAAAGTGATGTCTAAGAACTCTAATAAAAACCAGTTTTATTTTGTAACACAGTGCAATTGTACTTGAATAGCAATATGTTGGAGCTAAGGTGCAAGAGGTGTATTAATTTAAATAGAAGAAAATGAAATGGCTTGTTCAACACAGGATACAGGAAAACTACCAATATTTTCTGGACCATATCCTCAACAGAAGCGCACAAAACAATATGATAACATTCCAGATAATGAAATCGAGAGGTTAACCAAATTTGTGAACTATGTCTCACACCAAGTAGACATAAGGAATAGATACACTCCTGAAAAACTCGAACTCCTGACATCTTATGTTGAAAATCTGGTTCAATCCATCTGTAAAGATGTTGGTATAAAGAATCCAGCCTTGATAGTGGAAGAGATCATTCGTAGAGGGAGCTACTATGATGGAACTAAGATATTGAAGCCTAATGAGTATGACTTCCTTGCAATTCTAGCCTTGTTTGATAGTAAAGTAATTGAGGTGAAGGATGTGAGGAAGAAGTGTAAGCTCACCAGACAGGGGGCCTATCGCATTAAAGTTAAGGGCGAGTCTTTAAAACATCTCCTACCCAATGATTGCATAAAGAAGCATAAAGGTCAAAGCTACATTCAAATCGATCTTGTTAAATCTCTGCTCCCTGACACTGTAGTGGAGACTCTTCAGAACATTGATGATGTCAAGTTTATTGGATTTAGAGATCATGAAAGAAATACCAATGCTGAATACAACAAGGGTGACATAAGTGTACATATGGGGGACCATGGACGCCACTTACATGGGCCAAGTATTTGGCTGCGTGTTGGTGGACCAATGTGCACTGCAGATGTTGATCTCTGCTTTTGTATAGAGCAGAAGCAACACAAGCTAGGGAGAAGTGTACTGGTTATAAGAGACTTTCATTATGACAATTGCCCAGTGAGTCATTGGATGGAGTCTGTGGTAGATCCTCCTGATGACAACATCCACCAGCTTACACCTCCCCATCATCAACTATTGTTAGTATTCAAGTATGCAGCTCATCTACTTTATAGCATGGATATCAAACACTACCACCCTCCTTCATCTTATGCTCTGAGAACATTACTGTTGCAACACCAGCAGCAGTGCCAGTCTTCTCATGTAGGGGAATGTTTCATGGAGGCTGTGAAGTACATGTGTTATGATACTGATACAATTGATTATCATCAGAATACATTTAGGATACAAGAAGTCTTTGGTAGGACAATACCAGACATAATCTATCCACTGAGGGAGATCAGCATACATGATTTACACTCACAGCCCACACCTGCAATGTTACTCTGGCTGATACAACATGTGAGACATACCAGTGATTGTAGCTGGTGGGAGACACTATTAGATCCAACATTCATCAACAATGTTACTGAGACTGAATTACTACACTCTTTAGTAACTGTAGTAAGGAGTATAGACAGTGAGCATGTAATCGCTGCACTGGAAAGATATAAAGAAACAAGAGAACCTCAAATCATCAAGTTACCATGGAAGCGCAAGGATGAAACTGAAACATTATTAGAGTTTGAGATCACGTGGTAGTATATATTCAAGTAAGTGACAGTACTCTCCATACATGGCTCAAATACTAAGAACTGATATCACGCAGGTATACAATAATTGATAAATGCCGAGTGAGTCATTGGATGGAGTCTGTGGTAGATCCTCCTGATGACAACAAACACCAACTTACACTTCCCCATCATCAACTATTGTTACTATTCAAGTATGCAGCTCATCTACTTGATAACATGAATATCAAAGACTACAAGCCTCCTTCATCTTATGCTCTGAGAACATTACTGTTGCAACACCAGCAGCAGTGCCAGTCTACTCAAGTAGGGGAATGTTTCATGGAGGCTGTGAAGTACATGTGTGAGGACACTGATGTAATTAATTATGATCAGAATAAATTTAGGATACAAAGACCCTTTGGTAGGACGATACCAGACATAATCTTTCCACAGAGGGATATCAAATTATATGATTTACAATCAGTGTCCACACTTGCAATGTTCCTCTGGATAACACAACATGTGAGACATACCAGTGACTGTAGCTGGTGGGAGAGACTATTAGATCCAACATCCATCAGCAATATTGCTGAGACTGAGTTACTACACTCTTTAGTAACTGCCATGAGGAGTGTAGATGGGAAGCATATAGGTGATGCAGTAGGTAGATATCTTAAAAGATATTTTGAAACACAAGAACCTCCAACCATCAAGTTACAATCGAAGCACCAGGATGAAACTGAAACAATATTAAAGCTCTTCGAAATTAGTTAGTTTCAAGTGTTTGGACAGTATCTATGTATATGTGGTAGTATATTCAAGTAAGTTACAGTGCTCTCCAAATATGGGTCTACACTTGAAATATTCTCACAATTTTATTTTTGGACCTCCTCTTATCTACAAGTTTCAATGGAAGCACCAGGATAAAATTGAAACTATATTAGTTGTAGACGACCTACATGCAAATATCGATATATATGCATCAAGCACTAAGGACGTATAATCAAACATTCACACATAGCTAGGCAAGGTGTGTCTGATTCCATCCAATCTGAAGACAGTATTTCATATAGCTGCAGTACAGTATATAACCAATTACTGCTTCCAAGGTCATTCCTTATGTGGTTGTCAAGGTGACAATTTGACTCTAAAGATTGAAATTGATGCTTTGCCAACTTGACTCATGCAAAAAGTTTAATTGGAAATATGTTCTCTTAGTGATTTTGTGTCTTTTAAGTGAAATGGTAGGAAACAACTTTGAAATGTGTGAAAAGAATTTAAGCCCAAGACTCAATGCATTTTGGAATGACCATTCCTTTCAGGCATTGTTTTCTTAAATTAACACTTGGTGCTGTACATCCCATGCAAATTTTGGAAATCAACACCTTCGAGGAATTGACATTCCACATAGCACAGAGTCCAGGGCTTAAATCCTTAAATAACACTTGGTACAGTATTCACTAACACCTTCTTTAACTTTAAGGGCTAATTGCTGTAATTCGTATACTTAATGACCATCAAATAGTTTAGCCATTTAAATATTTTTTTTTTTCATTACTTAACACTTTCTCAGGGTGCAAATGTGTAATGATTTTCAAGTGTATAATATTGTAAAATAAATTGCTTATGTATAACTATATAAAGTTCTCATAATGTCTGTCCACTTATTATCCCACTAAATGAAGTTCATCGGATTAAGTGAAGCTGTTAGCGTCCATGCGTAATCGGTCCTTTCGTTTGTCTCGGAGGTGATAATTCAAATACTGGTTGTCTAATTTGGTTCAAATGTGATAGGTTTATACCTTATGGGTGTAGGACCTCTGCTCGAGAAGGGATTTTCACTTCAAAATGACCAACATTTAACGTAAGAAATGTAATCTTTTGCGTAGGAACAATGAAGCTTGGCTCTTGAAGAAAATTTTAAGATGGCTGCTGAGTTTTAAAATTGTCACAATTTTTTCTAAAAAACACCAGTGATATCCCATTTTAATTGCTCATATAATATCTTACATACCTAAAATATTTGATAACTAATTTTATAAACATGCCTCATTTATCATTGAAATTGATCTTAGAATGTTCCCTATTGTTTGATGATTATTCTCTACAAGTTTGGATTGTGTAACTCAAATTGTATTACCGTATTAGAAATGATGTCGTTTAACTGAAATAAATTGCCATGGCCATGATTTCAAATTTTACTTTGCCCATGCTCGGCTCTGAGAAAATGTATGCTCATGCTTGTTCATATGATCATTGCCTGCAATTTGATTGGACATCACCATAATTTGAATAAATTATTTTCATGAAGACCAAGTGATACCAAAGCATTATGGGAGCTACTCACTTCTGGGCACAGTATTACCATGGGAATATATTTAGAAAATCAACAAAACAATCTACTGTCAGAAAAATGCAATTAGTTTAAACGAACATTCAACCATTTTATCCATATTTTAAACCCTTGAAAGTGATAAATCTACAAGGTAAGATTAGAAGTATGTTGTAATCCAAAAATAAAAAAAATGAAAATAAAAAAGTGATTGTGTGGACACTGGGATTTGAACCCTCAGATACAGACTCATTCCAGTTGGTAGACTGATGCGCTACTAAGTGCCCCTTTCCACCAAGGCATTAGACTAATTCAATTCTTTCAATGCCATTTTCTACTTCTAGGGTGCTGTACTAGCTGCCGTCTCCAGTTCAAAATGGCTGAGTTTCTATAGCGACCCGATGATGATGAATGGTTCAAATATGGCAGAAATGGCTGAGGATGAAGTGACCTCTTGTGGTAAGTTGAAGGACTAATTTATAGGATCTATGACAAAATGGGCGGCTGTTCGGTTATTTATCATTCCTGACATGAGAGAATTTAATGATGATTTTCTGCAAGCTGCGTGTGTGTTACTGATTCCAAAGATGTTACTTTATTAATCTGAATATGTGGTTTTTTCTTTGATTTTTTGTTTGTTTCACTGTTTGATTACTGTGTTGTTTGTTATTATTCACTAGCCTTACATATGCAGTATTACACCTATTAAGAACATGAAAAATTGTAGATACATATTTGATTTCTTTTATATAATTAATAAAGGTGTTAAGAAGTTTTTTTTGTTTGTTCTTAATTACATCGATCTTACATATAGAATCATTTGAATATGAAATAAATTCAGGCATAAAGAAAATTTTAAGATAGGTCTATAACTGTTTTGCATAGCAGTGCATTGCTCTTAAGTTGTTGATATATTTTCAAGGCAATAAACATCAAACACTCTACACCAATCTGTATCTTTTGCTCCCATGAGCAGACGACCCTTGTGGTCATATCTATTTCTCACCATTTCTCTCTAAAATTTGAATAAAGTTTCTGATTTTCTTGCATTTCTATACAATTTAGAGTGTTAACTACATGTCTGTTTACTTTATTCCTACCTAATTTTATTCTTTTCCACTCTATTTTGCATTTTAAAACACGACCACCATGACATTTTTCTCGCAGGCATAGGAGCCTATGATACCAATAAACATGCAATGCTAATATACTGAAACATGAGAAACTAGTGGAACATACATAAACACCTATAAATATAAACACCTTTTTCGATAGAACACCTCATAATGTGAACACCTCAGTTCCATTTACAAGATATCGGATTGATTCTAATGTTACCCAGAGCTCTAAATATATGAACACCTCTTTATATGAACACTTTTACCTGGCCTAGGCAGTGTTCTAAACAACTTGTTTAACTGTACATGTAAACAAACCTTATGTTTTGCTAAATGTTTAAGGAAAACACTGGAGAATTCTTAAAGACAAGTTTTAATATAATATCTGTTCTTTCAGTAATATGAATTGATTAGAGAAGGAATTTATGAAGGGGTATTCTACCAAAGTATAGAAATATGAATCAAATGGAAGATGGATATGCAGTTGAGTTAATTGGTTCCAGAATCGATGGATACTATTTTAGGATGTACTATTTACTATTTTAGGATGTAATACATACTATTTTAGGATGTTTCAAAGTACATGGAGTATACATATAGCATACTTACTGCAAGTATTTATTAAGGATGGATCATTACAATACTGGAGTTTTAGGATTACTTCTTGGGGTTTCATTTAATCCCCCATGGGGTTCAATGTAGTAAGTTGAAGCTGTGGAGATGTATCAGGATTTCGCCACCTGTTCACTAGAGGCAATCTGCGCGAGATTCCATTTTTTGGTTCGGTTTTTAGCGCATGCGCATTAAATCCAGCAATTTAATTGGTTCAAATTATTATGACGCATGCACATTCAATAACTTATAAGAACATTTGATTTGATATAGATGTCACTTACGTTCATTATTTCACAGCAGTCCCTACCCATGATGCACCATGTAGTGTGAGAATATTTTTGTTTAGTGCCAAAACAAAAAGTGTACACCCAAAACAAATGTAATGACATAACATCAACCTGCCTCCGATTATAGACGTGTGTTGTACAAACTTAAACCGAACCGATGGCAGAAAAGCACTTTGAATCATGGGAATGAAGTACTTCCTTTAATAAAAAATCGAACCAAGTAAAAACCGAATCTCGCGCAGATTACTCCACCTGTTTCATTATGGGTCAATAGCAGTGATCTCCCCAGCATTAAAGCAAGTAGGCGCAGCATCTACCTGAGATTTTGAAAATAAGTTTGCACCCACCTGAAAATCAATTTGCACCCACTTGAAAATGAAAAAAATCATGAAAATGGACATATTTTGACTTATTTTCGTCTGAATTGTAAAAATTGAAAATTTGGCACCCACTTGAGAAAAATCCTGTGGAAATCACTGCATACCCTTTGTTATCCCTTGGAATAGACAGAATACATATTCCCTCCCAAGCACCTGATCATTGACTGAATTACAACAATATGATCCTTAATATAAACCAAGGTATCCAAGGTATTCCTCTTGTATTCCTCTTATCAATTAAATGGGCCAATCATTTAAAAGTCATTATTTCTTGGGGCATTACACTTGACTTTCACAAGTTTAGGTCAGATGAATTACACTTCATGTTTCACATGTTTTTAGATTTTTTTATTGAACTCCCACAGAATGCTCAATATATGCGGTCAGATATCAACTCAAATAATTTTGTGATTTTGTGTCAAACTCTATGACAACATTTCAAATATATTTCTCTTCCCCAGCCTTATATAGTTCTGAAGTTTATTATTGCCTTTCGGGAGGTTTTTTGTTATCATCTTATAAAAGTACAGTTTATGCTAAACAGTTTATTATTAACCTTGTCCTTATAGTGTTTAACCCAAATTTTTAGTTCTGCAAAAATAGGAAAGGGTCACAAATTGATAACCCCCTTACCCCCATATGTTATAGCTTATGCACAGCGTGTTCAAATTACTACCCCTTATCTTTATATGATTAAAAAACATTCCAGTTTTTATAATTAGCTTACTTGAAAGTAGGATATCTTTGTGAAGAGTTTTTGGGCTCTCTCGGAAAAGCAGTTGATTGGAACAACAAAGTACTACTTGGAAGGTCAGAATTTGCAAACAGAGATCTTTGACTTTTGACATCTAACATGAAGCAGATATAGGAAACGAAACATTTTCTTCAAAATATTGAAAGTTTACATTTTGTGGTAAAGGATTTTTGTTGACTTAGGAATGGTATCAAATATTATCTATAGTTTTTGGAGAACAGAGAATTTTATTAGGTGTGAGAGGGGGTGAATTATGATTGCGTTATAGCTTAATTTAAAGATAACAAAACAGAATTAGAAAAATTGACATCACAGGCAAACAAACCCATATTTGCAAAGATAATTTGAGCCATCCAAACTTTTCAAATCATAAGAACCTGTCACGTTAGCTGTGTTGCCCCACTGTTCTCCACTTTCTGCCAAATTTTAGGCATTTTTTAAAAAACTAATCAACTAATTTTTGTGATGGGAAATATTTGGCTGTAAAACTGTGTTTTTTGCCCACTTGTATCAATGTCGTGCCCCATCATCTGCCCCAAAGTATTCACGCTGTCGCGAATGGTGGGCCCACACAGCCATAAGCATTTTTTAAGAAAAACAGAATGGGAGACATTATTTGTTGGCCTTTTTTGCCAATAATGTATTGTGCAATCAATCTGGTAATTTTTCAATCTTGTAGATTTCCTACCAATTAGCTGCAATCAGCATTCAGCATAAATAAGATACTGTCATTTATATTTTGTAACATTTCTAAGAGTGAATATCTTGGTAAAGGTACCTCTGAAGGGATAAATGTCATTACTCACGAAAATGCTGTTATGGTGGTCATGTTTTAAAATGCAAATTTCAGCTGTAAAGAGTGGAATCAGCAAGGAATGAAGTAAACAGGCATGTAGTTAACACTCCAAATTGTATAGAAATGCAAGAAAATCAGACACTTCATTCAAATTTTAGAGAGAAATATATGGAATTAGCATGACCATTAATCAGGTTTTAATCAAGAGTATTGAGTCATCATCCAATTAAGGGAATTAGCAGGTATATAAACCTTAATTCAACCCTTACAGATTCTAATTAATATCATTGGGATTATGATTTCGACATCATGAGCTAAGTTTTGTGTTTTTGCAGTTTCTATTTTAGGTCATCAAATGTTAGCATTATTTAGAAGATAATATGAATTCAAATGAGATGACTATTGCTCAAATAGAACTTATAAGGAGCAAAATTGCACTTTTTAAAAATTCTATTACATTCTTTTACATTATGCCCTGAATATAATATAAGATACATTTTTTAAAATTTGATTCACTCCAAATACAGAAATTACATGACATGACAAATGTTTGTTCTATATAAACAAATCGAGATCAATTTTAATTATAACATTCTTGGGTTAACCTGTGCAAGTGGAACATATTTGATACAATAAAAAAAATGTTACACTTGAAGAGGTTCATTTTAAATTAAGTAAGCAGATAGCATGACTTTGAAATGTGTTTCACTAAAAGAGGTGTTCCTCAACATGTCTCTTTTCTATATATTGGACCTAAATAATCGTTTCTCAAAAATTACAATTTTTGTTTGCAGCTATATTTATTGCTCTTGGTCTCGGTGGAATTTTATTTTTGACATAAGTATTTGTCATTCTTGGTTTTCTAGTGGTTAATTAAGGTTTGGAACTGTACAGAGGTTTGACCTGATATTTTTATGCCTTCAAAACTGGAAAATTGTTGGTGTTAGGTAGAGGATAGTGATTGTGACTCTATTACTCTGAAGGTTGGGTAGTCACATAACAGTTCCTTCATGGGAGACACAGCATTGATTGTAAGGGATTTCTAGGATTAGTTCTAAGTTTGCAATAAGTCCATCATTAATGATTTCAACCATGAACAAAATATCTCAACAGCTGTTTTTTAAAATGCAGAATAGAGTGGAAAAGAAGAAATCACAAAGGAATAATTTATATAGGGATAAAGCCAACACTTCAAATGATATACAAATGCAATAATATCAGACAGTTCATTCAAAATTAAAGGAGAAAATGCGAGAATCGGGATGAGCAGACGGACATTTTCCTGAGAAGTCATGTTATATAACCTATTGATACAACTATCTACATGTAAGAAATCTGTGAAATGAAAACCAGCATCTAGTTTGTTTTGATAGGAGTATAATCAGAATAAACACAGCTAAATATGGTATAATATAAACAAAAAAGTATATACAGTACATGATTTTAAGTTACATAATGCATATGGATGTACCTACCTAATGAAGATAAAAAGTTGAATAATTGTAAAAAGCCACATAGCTAGGATATGTGAATGATCCATATTTTTCACATTTGACAATACAGAAATATACTACATTGTGTAACGCTTCACACCTACATCAATCAAGGATAACCAGTCAGAACGACAGCTGATGAAAAGAAACTGAAATATGCTCTAATCCAATTCCTGCTACTGCAATGATAAACAGAGACTGCATCAATCAATGTTAAAATGACAACTGATAAAGAAATCACTCAAAAGAAGGATAAAAGAAAAAAGTTGAAAATCCCAGGAACATTAGGTAAGTGAAAGTCACATGATTTGATTTGTTTTTGGGCATGCTGGGAATTTTTTTTAAAGCAGCTATGAGAGGGGGAGAAACCCCAGGGTTCAAAGATGACATATGCTTATAATGTAAATCTGTATTGAGATGACATCGTCGCTGATTGGTTTAGCGAGTCGATCGTTGATTGGTTTAAAACTAGGTCAATTTGAAAACTTTGAAAACCAAGATGGAGTATAAATACACATACTTCTGGGAAAGGGTGCGCGAAGGAGGAAATCGTATGTCATCAATTTAATCATGGGGTTTTCCCTCCTCTTAGCAGCTATTTTTCATATGAGGTACAACATTGTTCACCATGTGCCTATTAGTTGTCATGACAACATGATTGCGCTAAACATAAGACTAACAAGTCATATTGTTTTTCATATTTTTTATTTATTTTTGATTATTGTCAATTTGTACTGGTGCTGTATCAAGTTATCAAAAATACTGATAAGTCTTTAATACTGTCCATAATTGTCACATTTTCTGTTTGTTCTACATCCTGTACATATTCATTGATATCATTTGAACAAGTTTCATATTATCATCAGTCTCATATTAAGACCATCTACCCCCTCTCTTAGACTGAGTAGGGGGGGGGGGGGGAAGGGGCACATGGCCTTAAGGCATTGACATTAAGGTAGATCTGCATGTTGAGTATGTTCATATTATCATTAGTCTCATATCAAGACCATCTACCCCCTCTCTTAGACTGAGTAGGAGGGGAAGGGGCATATGGCCTTAAGGCATTGACATTAAGGTAGATCTGCATGTTGAGTATGTTCATATTATCATTAGTCTCATATCAAGACCATCTACCCCCTCTCTTAGACTGAGTAGGAGGGGAAGGGGCACATGGCCTTAAGGCATTGACATTAAGGTAGATCTGCATGTTGAGTATGTTCATATTATCATTAGTCTCATATCAAGACCATCTACCCCCTCTCTTAGACTGAGTAGGAGGGGAAGGGGCACATGGCCTTAAGGCATCGACATTAAGGTAGATCTACATGTTGAGTATGTTCATATTATCATTAGTCTCATATCAAGACCATCTACCCCCTCTCTTAGACTGAGTTGGAGGGAAAGGGGCACATGGCCTTAAGGCATTGACATTAAGGTAGATCTGCATGTTGAGTATGTTCATATTATCATTAGTCTCATATCAAGACCATCTACCCCCTCTCTTAGACTGAGTAGGAGGGGAAGGGGCATATGGCCTTAAGGCATTGACATTAAGGTAGATCTGCATGTGGAGTATGTTCATATTATCATTAGTCTCATATCAAGACCATCTACCCCCTCTCTTAGACTGAGTAGGAGGGGAAGGGGCACATGGCCTTAAGGCATTGACATTAAGGTAGATCTGCATGTTGAGTATGTTCATATTATCATTAGTCTCATATCAAGACCATCTACCCCCTCTCTTAGACTGAGTAGGAGGGGAAGGGGCATATGGCCTTAAGGCATTGACATTAAGGTAGATCTGCATGTTGAGTATGTTCATATTATCATTAGTCTCATATCAAGACCATCTACCCCCTCTCTTAGACGGAGTAGGAGGGGAAGGGGCACATGGCCTTAAGGCATTGACATTAAGGTAGATCCAGTGTTTTTCCTAAGCAAATATAAATCACAGGACCAATGGACTGGCAATATCAAAATTTCAACCAGTCCAGGCTAAGCATCATCAGTCATCTGGACCTGTAACTTCTGCTACATCACAGGTCCAAGTGAAAACCAACCAGTCCTTAAAATATTAAAGTTACTTCGAATTCAGAACTATATGTATTGGCACGTTCAAAAAGAAATTTAAAAATTAATACAGGAACCGGAAATTACATTTGCTACACTGGACGAAAACAAATGTAGTTTGTATCTTCACTCGGGATTGTTTAACCTCCATTTATCCTACTCGATCAATTTATGAATCCCCATATAATTTCTCGTTATAATTATATTTTTTTCATAGTTAGTGGACAGTAATGAAGTCCCCGTGTTGGAATTCCCGGTTAATTTGCTTCCATAATCAGAAATTTTACATGGAACGAAATACCATATGGTCACTACCCACAATTCATTTCGACTAATCAGAAAACAGTTTTTCGAAGTTATTGATAGATTATGCTACGCAATTTATCCTCGTTTGCAGACCTGAAACTCAAAAAAATATTTTTAAAAATCCTGTCTGTTTTAAAGATTTTCGATGTGATAATGAGTAAAATCTTTAGTAAATGAAGTTCAATGATCGGACTGATGTTTGAGGTAAGACTTTGGTGCATATCTTAGCCATCGGACTTGGACGGTCTGCACTGGACTGGTTGGTTGGAATAAATCGTCAGTCCTGGGTCAACATCATCGGAGATGTCCCATGGCCCGACGCTTAGGAAAAACACTGGGTAGATCTACATGTTGAGTATGTTCATATTATCATTAGTCTCATATCAAGACCATCTACCCCCTCTCTTAGACTGAGTAGGAGGGGAAGGGGCACATGGCCTTAAGGCATCGACATTAAGGTAGATCTGCATGTTGAGTATGTTTATATTATCATTAGTCTCATATCAAGACCCTCTACCCCTTCTCTCAGTTTGAGTAGGAGGGGAAGGGGCACATGGCCTTAAGGCATTGACATTAAGGTAGATCTGGATGTTGCGTATTTTCATGATAATATTATTAAAATTACCAACATTGAATGAAATGGGTTATACTTATATTCTTCAAAATTATAATAGGATATTTATATATTGTTACAGATTTGAAAAGTTCATAAATCAAAAGATTTTGTAAAATTTCCAAAATTATTTTTTCAATTTTTTTCTGAAAGTGCAGAACTACCAAATGCACAATTTGTCACAAAGTAATAAAAAACTTTCCCAAGTTTTAGTAGTCACACAATTTAGACAAGATTTAAATGCCAAGTTTTCAACAGTTAGATACTCCATGTTGATTTCACGTCACAAATATATGTTTATGTTTATTGGTGTTGACTGATTATAAAAGTTACCAAGTAATGCTGTCTCCTTGTTTTAGAAGTATTGGACCATTTTTATATACATTGTCATTAACAGCAAGGTGGTCCAACGTGACTTCACCAAAATATATCTCTAAGGTATATCTAGTTTCCCTATGCCCTTGGGCTTTCCCCCCACTCCCTTCCAGAGTTCCTAACACCCCTGGCAACAGGAGGGGGTATTTGAATGGTAGGGGTGTCTTAGGTTGAAATGTCAGTGTTTTGTTGTGTTTACCTAGAAACGCTTGTTGCCCTGACAACGCCATCACCATATGCCAGGAGGACATGTAGTATCTGAAAAATATACAATTGGGATCAGTTTTATATCTTTTGCAAATACCCTTAATAATTATGGCACCATAATTATTTTATTCAATGTAGTTGGACAAACTCTTGATTTTTGAAATTTGACCATGTATTGCATAATTGTGCCCCAATAATTGTTTTCAAGAATTAGCAGCTTTCACTTTAATCAGTATAAATTACAGTGTACTCTTAAAATGTTAGTATTTGGTGAAAACAACAATCCGATCTTGCTCTAGAGACAATAAAATGCCCCCCCCCACAACTGACTGCAATACATATATGAGTGTTTTCCCACAATTCATACCCATAATGACTGGTGACCCATGGTTGTCCATCAGCACCATAATTTAGTCCACCCATCAGACCAGCGACATTCCATTGATCATTCAGTACAGAGCGCCACCTATCCAGTGATTTCTCTGCTACTTCTATAGCATGTGAGACATTTTGCCCATTATGGATGCTGATAGTTGCCCAATTGGGGTTCCCCATCATCCAGATTGCGTTATCTTGGGAAGGTCCAGGATATGGATATCGGCCTGCAATATAAGTGTGGCTTTCTATATACAGGGGTCACAGGTTGCAACACAGGGGTTTCCCATTATCTAGACTGTATTGTTCTGAAGGATCAAGACATATTATGACATTAAATGTATGTGAAGGGTCCCTGGAAAAAGCAATTAAACGGAGGACAGTAGATCCTGGGGAATTCCTAGGTCCTCGGGAACTAGTTCTCCCCTTTGTAAATTGATCCCTTGAAAAACTATTGAAAGGAAGACAGTAATCAATAGGGATCATCATATTAAATGTTCACTTACAAGCTCTCTTTTGGCTTGGCCTCCTTGTTATCCTAATCATTATTACCTGTCATAACCAGCATCCCATATGGAGAATCATTATGGGTCAATTCTGCCTTCATATGTAGTTTCAGCTTTGTGGTGTTTATAAGGGGTCCCAATCCAAGTGTATATGACAGGACCTACAATAAACTACCCTTTGCATTCGTTTGACTTCACTTCCTGAAAGCGCCAATCAGTGTTCGTCGGCCAAATTTGACCGATGTTCTTTATATGGTCATTCCTTCTGACGTCATCATTGAGCCCGGAATTGACCAATGACATGCGCATATTTAATTAGAACGCATTTGGTCCATGTTTCTTCAAGCTCGCTGATTGGTGGAAGGTCAGCGCGTAGGTCAAAAGTGATTTACTCAAACTGTCACCGGTACCCGTCGTGGGGGCGGGGCTACTAAACTGTAATATGGTCTCTACTAGGCAGAGTGTAGTTTAACTAGACTCTGCATGCAGGGTAACAATAAACAATATATGAAATGCTTGACACAATTTCAACTCCTAGTAAACTTTATGAATTATCTTATGTTATGTTGCACTCTTACTTTATTTGAATCTTAGACATTTATTCTATTCTCTGTCTGAACAAACAAATACGAAAATAAATTTAATGCATTTTAAAAGATGTCAGTGGGAATGCAAATTTCTCACAGTACCTGACTGTAGAAACTGTCAGTCATTATAGCACCAGGGTTGTTAGGGGCGATCTCTACAGGGAGATCTAACAAGCCCCTCCTTCCCTCGGCCTCCATCTTGTCTGGTGAACCAGCACCTGTGCTCAAAAATATATCATGCCCATCATGTTTTTTAATCATCAATTTTAAGGTGGAACTGTTTTTGAACAAAATTAAGGGAATTTGCATCAAATAATGTGGAATGTATTTAATGGATTTGTCACCAACATATGCTTAAAATGGTTACCTGGCAACATAGCATATGCATTGTAGTACTGTGCTGTCTCATTCCAAAGGTGAAGGTCAAGTTCAAGTTGAGAGGCTTCCGCAAATTTCTCACAGATGGTGGCAAAATCTGCATCACCTAAAATTCAAAGATACGATCTTATTTTAATGATTACATGTCTCTGGGGATCTTTCAATTATAAGATAGAAGCCCTTTATTATTATGTGCATATATACATGACGTCGTTATGTCTTTAAGGAATAATAGTGATAGATAACCAGATAGAATAGAGCACGGTTGTTCATGTATGGCGAAATAGAGATTTTTCATTATTGGCTATGCTGCAAATTGATTGGTTGAGAAATTCAATTAGAGCATCGTCATGTTTGGGTATGTCATTCTTGATGCCTAATGAATTTAGTGCAGTGTCGTTCTTTAAGACACTCCTCTTACCTTGTATTATTGCAAGTTTTTGAGCTACTTTCAATGCCAAAATATGAAATCCTGTATTGTAAGCACTGATGCTATATGCATTCAGTCCCAGGACATCATATGTGTTTTGTAGTTTTAGAGGAAGATGGCCAGAACCACATACGCTCATATGCCACTGGGCAGCCTTTTTAGCATATGGCCACATCTCCTTGAGAAATGCTTCATCCCCTGTCCAACTTTAGAAAATTACAAAAGTATTCTAATTCAAATAAGTAAGCACATGTATTTAAAATGTAGCAAGAGAATGAAAGGAGCATTTAGGAACAAAACAAGTCAGAAACATGATTAGTCCACATGGAATATCAATGTAGATACAAGTAGAAAGGAAAAAACATCATCAAAATACATAAGAGTATAACTCCAGTAGATACACTATGAGCATAAAAGAAACATCAGATATGATTCATCCACATAAAACATCAATGTAAACACAAGTGAAAAAGAAAAAACATCATTAAAATACATACGAGTACAACTCCAGTAGATACACTATGAACATAGAAGAAACATCAGACATCACTCTTCCACATGGAATATCAATGTCCTTATTTGGACCAGATGGGTTGCATCTCAACTGCTCGGGAATCATCCCATTGGCCAATTGCGAATGTGCCCATGCATACATTTTATTTTTTGTTGACTTTGGGAAGAACATGATGTATGGTATATGTCGCTCTCCATCATTATGAACTGAATCTGAAATTGTAAACATAGCCTCAATTTCATAACCATTTGCTTAAGGTATGAGGTTCCATATCCATCCGCCAAAAGGTATGACCCCTATATAGTCCATTTAAAAATCTGTAGTATTGTTCTATATAACATCATAGTTGGCTTCTAGGGTGCCTAGTATGCTACTATTTGGTATCAAAATAAAGAGGAGGAGTTCAACTTTCATTTGAATTACGAAAATAGCGATGTAAGTCAAAAATAGTTCCGACGTGAGCATGTTTACTACGCGTTTGCCCATCATCTCAGAATTGAGGAAATGGTAGCAAACGCGAGTTACAATAAATTGACGCTGATATCTCAAAAAGTAACCTGACTCCCCTTAATTTGATGTAGATCAATCAAACCCCTATATGAACAGGTACATTTTGATCACAAACGTTGAAGTTGATCACAAACGCCATATGTGCAAAGTATTGATATGAATTTTCGAATTTGGTGTTGGATTACGGTACTCATACCTTAACCTCTCCACCCATCTGATTATTTGCACTTTAGGCTATCTGTGGGTGATTTCTACAAGGAATTTGACTGCAGAAAGTATATAAGGACTGGAATAAGGCTGATTATTCAGGTCAATTATTCATTCTTCAGGAAAATATTTCTATACCACATATAATTCTGCAATTCTGTGCTTGAAGGCAAATTCCCATCCATGCACCACACAAATCCTGGGTGCAGTATATAGTAAATGGTCTTATTTCATAAATGTGTCACCAAACATCTATTTCTAAACCAAATATCCTCAGGTGGCCAGAATACATCCAGAATTTCCTCCTCCCGGAATGGATGGTATGTGTTTGGAGGATGATTCCAAAAAGACCCTTGTATAACAGCCATTGTACTTACCAATGTTAGTGCAGTCATTAGCTTCCCACTGTCGCCATCTGCCATCATCAAACCACATAGCTGACCTGAATGTCAAGAAAAACACATCTCATAATACACTCACACAGTTGAAGAAGATGCATCTAGTGAATTTGTGTGAATTTGCGGATTTGCCAATGAAGTTTGCCGAGTTGAGATAAGTCAAGTCTGATCTGGTCAAATCTGGTTTAGTCCAGTCTGATTCAGTTTGGTCCAGTTCACCTTGAATTTCATATTTCATGAAATGCAATCAATTCATTCTATACCATTCTTGTATTTCTTTGTTAATAAATATACATGATAAATCCTTTGAAACTAGAGTGCCTTCTTATGTTTTAATGTGTTGCACATATAGAAGTTTTTACAAAGCAGTAATCAAGTAATGCAGTTTACCGGATATGACTTAGACTGTTTATTAGTAAATCCTGAAGAAAAACTGGAAGTCCAACAGACTCGTAAAATGCACCATGCAATTTCCTAATATCATCCACAATATCATCTAATTGACTCCACATCTTTTGTGCGACATCCAGAGAATCGCTGTACAAATGTTTGGAATAGTAGTTTCCATGGATTTCCCCTACAAAGTCCCTATTTGGGTAGAACCATGATAAAACCTGTGTGACTGATTTGGTCTCCCCTGGTTTCAGGTTCACGCTTGAGACTATCCAAGCATTAGGGTGGTTTTGGTTAAGGTTCTGGTGGAGTGGGTCTTGGTTATGTATATTGGCAAAGACATCTTTAACAGTGGCACCTAGAAATTAGAAATAAAACAAAAAAGTGTTTCATCAGAAAGAGGAAAACCACATTTCTGCATTGATAGACTTATTAAAATCTTTATTTGTTTTGGACAAAGTGGATTTCATAGATATCACATCTTTTTGTGTTTTCTAAAATTCCCCCCTGGTAGCCAGAGTTATTTGATCTACAGGTTGTCTAATTAGAAGGGGAATTTGTAACTTAACTTTCTGGACACCATATATGTTTACATTACTGTGTCCATTGTTGTTTTTGGAAATGTCACATTATTGCCCTACCTGTTCCAAAATGAGTATTAGAGGTGTTGTTTCCACAAATTGTGATGTTCCCATTTGGCCCTGCAAGTCCAAATCTAACTGAAGATAAACACTGTATTCCCTCTCCTGAATCTGTGGTCACGTTACTTACTACCCATTCCTGGGGAAGTCCACTATTTGTGTCCTCATTGAACGTGTTCAAATTTGCGACCTCGGAAAGTTGACACATTTTCGTTTTCTTAAAGAATGTCCATGATTTGCAATCATTTGAATTTTTACACTTCTGAGCACAAGCAGATGTGTTGGAGACTGGAATGCTTCTCGGGGACTTCCAGTCAGTTTTTCCATCATCAGTCGGTTTTGCAGTACGCTGTGTCATTTCTTCTATGCCGACGCCCAAATTAAATATCATATAAGTCAAGACATTGTCAGTCGTTGAAGGATTAGTGAATACCATTGTGAATGCTATACTTGGCAAAGCTGATGCATTCATGTCACCGACTTTATATGAAGAGTATGCATACGTCGTAATATCAACTGGGATGCTATCATCAATGACTTCAAGTTTTGAGACGGGATATGCTCCTTGGTAACGTAATGCTGAGACCCCTTCCACCCCTGGCGCATCTGGATCATTGGGCGGGTTGGTTCTCAGAGCAAAAATCTTAATATTATCAGTATCAACATCAGCTGCATTGGCTTCGTTTAGAGGTATCTCCAAATCATCTACAGTGTTAATGTTGGTGTTTATCTCATTATTAATCAACATGTCTATTACATCATCTTCTTCTGTGAAGTGTTCACGTAACTGAGGGTTAGTGTTGGCTTGTTTAGGGATTGCATTATCAACTCCTGGTGTTGAGATTGTCATAGCCGCTAGGAAGACATCATCCATTACCTTCATAAGATACATTTAAATGTAATTGTTTTTTCTTTATATGTTAGAATGTGACAGCAGTTTTTGCAATTTAAATGTTAACAGAAATACCAGATACCAACAATGGAAAATTCGATATCCCAAAATTGATAGAAATATAATTTTGTGGTGATTAAGCAAGGTGTCTGCAAGGATTGAATATAGATAATACAAATGGTGGTCATGTTTTGAAATACAAAATAGATTGAATGAGAGTGAAAATAGCAAGGAATAAAGTAAACAGACATGAAGTCAACACTTTGAATTATATAGAAATGCAAGAAAATCAAACACTTCATTCAAATTTTAGAGAGAAAAGTAGCGAATTAAGCATAATAAGTAGATGAACATTGAAAACTGCCTGTTGAAAATCAGTTCTTCATTTAAATTCCAGAGAGAATATAAGGAGTAAAACTAAGATATGACAGTGTTTACTTGTATTTTGGCAGCAGAGGCTGGTGATTGGTTCATGATTGTCCATTCATGGAATGTTCCATCTGCTCGTAGTTCTATAGAGCCAGTAGAGATACCTGTAATAGTAACATTAGCCATCGTATATTGATTACCTTGAAAGAATGATGATGAGAAAAATTCATTAGTCATATAGGAATTTTGCATCTGAATATGCATCGTCATAATCTGAATATGATAACAAGCCAGAAATAGAATTCATTTCATTGTGAGGTATATTTCTTCCAACATACTTATTAAAACAAATTGAAAACCTCAAATTGATTGTTTGCAACACCATTTATCATATTCATTTTAAAAACAATGTTACATCCCCTTCCTGCCACCATTTGAAAACATCATCCAAAACTGTAGACATTTCTGTAATATATGAGCCTGGCCATAGGAAAACCCGGTCTTATCACAAAAATTAAAATTGTTCTACAGAGCCAAAAATGTGCCCACAATTAAGAGGAAAATGTGCTAAATTCAGATCCGACTTTTTGGTCTATATATGCAAAGAAAAATTGTTAGGACATAAGCCATGGCTCATTTGAAATGTTTCTTTGTGCTTTTTAAGATAAACAAAAAATCAGAATATTGAAGAAAATCTGTGATAAGACCCCTTTTCCTGTGGCCTGGCTCATATGTTGTTATTTACTCACCTCCCAAGGGAACAGCGCTCCTCATACCACTAGGGGGAGGCACATCAGCACCATCTTTCCTCTGGAACAGATAGTTGCACTTCTTGGTTGTGATCCAGTTTTGTTGGATTGTTGTCACATTCTGTGCTTCTAGGTAGCCACATGGCAATGGCTTCCATATAAGCTCATCATCTTTGTGGACAACCTAAATAATTATATGAATATATATTCATATATATAAGCATGTATGTCCCATATTTGTAGTGGTCATTTATGGATACAACCATGAAAAAGAAATCAAGATGTAGGAATCCCTTCTTGAAGGAGCCCTGTGTCCAAATACAAACACAGATACCTAGTAGTATTTTAGGAATCTCTAGTAGTGTTGTAACTCGCGAGGATTTTTGGAATCGAGTAATTCGCATAATTTTGAGTCTGAGATCGAATAAGATTCGCGATTTTTCATCAAAAAAGTAAACAAGAAAGAATCTTACCATTTCATGTCCTAAAGTCGTTTTTTAGTCCTGTTTTCAATGCTGTTCACCCCCACAATGGCCTAGGTACGTTAGGTATATCACGAGTTGTCTATATCTACCAATTCAAAGCAAATACTGACTTTTATTTTAACTGACATCGCAGTTTTTTTTATTTCCGGTTCTACGGACTGAATAAACAAAGAAATTAAGAATAAACTCTAAAATATTTCGTTTAAATAGATTTATTACTCATATTCATTGAAATAAAAAAGATAACATGAAATGAATTGAAATAAAAACAAATAATACATGGAACAATCATTTAATTATAATAGTTTGACACTGTTTGATGTTTGTGTGGAAAGCAATGCATTTGACGTCATGATTCGCTGTGGAATCGCGAATACGAATACAAACTCGCGAATCTCAGACTCGTGATATAATTCGTGAAATCAGAACTCCTGATCGAGACGATTTCTATAACACCTTGGCGAGATGATTCGATGACTACGTGAGTACTTATCTACACCACTAACCTCTAGTAGTTGCGTCTTCCTCCTTTTTCTAAAGCTCTGTCATTTGCAACTAAATAATGGAATGTTATATATCTATATATGTTTCTGTCAACATGCCTGTCATTAAGTTGCCATGGCATTAGTTGCCATGCATGGCAACCATTGTATGAGTAAACATTGTCTAAAGTCACGGCCTTCCAAACTTCCAAACAAACTCACAATTACATTTTCTAACCATGTTCTTTCAAATTTTTACTTATTGACCTTATTGGTACATAGAAAATAACCTGACCTACCCCTTCATTTTTGAATTGAAGTTTTCCTAGTTTCTCTGCCAAGCTGTCTTGTCCAAAACATGATCCCTGTGCAGCGAAAAAGAGTATCACAAACAGGAAGATTTTTTGAGACATCATTATAGCTGTCTTTGTTGGTTATTTTTTAGCTAATTTCTTTGTGTAGACCTAAATTACAAGCATTATCAGATACAGATAAGAATCCTTGCATTACCTGTTGGAACACAGCTTGTTGACATATATACTGAAATATAAATTCTGCCTTTCTAGTGTACTACATTGAGCAGTTTAGTCACTCTATCGATAATCCTGTATTTCGTACACTCCCCTCCAAAAAACGTGGCAACTGTCATATCAGACAACACGTTGGAAGACCTTTGTGTTTGATTGGTTATCTTAAAAATCATCAAATTTGTTATATATTTCCAAGGTATTGTAATAAGGAAAAAAATAAATTTATATATAATATGCTTTGACACACTTTACAAAAGCTAGTTGAGGTTGCCAAACTTTTGGTGGGGAGTGTATAAAAAAGTTGGATGCTTTTCAAAACAGTAGATGTTTTACATCATTGACATCATGTGGTGTTGTTTATATGTATCAGCTATAGGGCTTACAAGTTCAAATTGCAATTCATTACAATCAATTTGCATTGCAATGTTTTTCAAGGAAATAAAGATATATCAACATGTATTTTATATTTTGTCTTCAAAGCCTCAGAAATGATAGATAATTGAATGATGTATCACTGGTAGGAAAATCAAAGGGATTGGTCTGTAAAAAGTATCTGTGTAAAAAAGCGTCCATTACTTATTGATCACCCCTCGTACATGTATCTATAAAGATATCATAGCTCTTTACTGAAAACCCATGAGAGTAGCTTACTAGGTTAATACTGCCTTTTCACATCTTATAGAAACATATTTAATTCCACTTAGAGTGCTATAATTATGTCATTTTGAACTCCGGTTACATTTGCCTCACCTCCCTGTTGCCTCACCTTTCTGTTGCCCCACCTTTCTGTTGCCATGCCTTTTCCTTTGCCTCACCTTTATGTTGCCTCACCTTTCTGTTGCCCCACCCTTCTGTTGCCATGCCTTTTCCTTTGCCTCACCTTTATGTTGCCTCACCTTTCTGTTGCCCCACCCTTCTGTTGCCATGCCTTTTCCTTTGCCTCACCTTTCTGTTGCCCCACCTTTCTGTTGCCACGCCTTTTCCTTTGCCTCACCTTTTTGTTGCCTCACCTTTCTGTTGCCCCACCCTTCTGTTGCCACACCTTTTCCTTTGCTTCACCTTTCTGTTGCCTCACATTTCCTTTCTCTCACCTGTATTTCGATCCTGGCTACATCCAAAAAATCCTGTACAATCTCATACAACAATCAGATGTCAGTTTATTCCTTTCAGTTTGACTTCACGAATAATGGTCTCATTTTACAAATCACAGCAGGTTATGCTTCAGAATCCACTTCAGCCCCAGTGGTTATGTTGATAACATCTACAGATCAAAATACTGTTTAGGTTTACATGTAATGTTTTACATGTTATGTTTTACATGTAATGTTTTACACATCATGTGACAATGTCAAGATGACCTTGACATGTCATATCTCTAGAAATGAGGCTTTCAATAGATAATGCATAAATTTTGTCAAAACATAAATAATGAATGCATCTTAAATGATGATAATTATAGGCAAATCAGTTAATTTTTGTAAAACAAAGGAATGCCCCACTTTAGTGAGCCAAAATTTTTATGTCATTCTTTGAAAATTTGTGCTCGGAAATTGAGGCCCACCATTTTTCAAAAATGTGACCTTAGAAATGAGGCTAAAAAGTTCTGTTTTGTGCTCAATTTGAATAAAATTTCTCCACTTCTTACCTTTAGATCAGCCAGTATGATATACAATGCAACATGAATCATTTATACCAAAGAGCATGTGTTTTGATTCATTATGAAGGTACATCACAGAGGAATCAATAGAATTATAGATATAGTCTAATACATGTTAATATTGATTGGTCTATCTGTATTTTTATCTGTAAGAGGATTATACTAAAATGAAAATATATTAACTTCAAAAGTAAAGTTAAGTCAAGTAAAATTAGTCAAGTCAAGTTATACCTTGCCCTTTATACTTAGCATGACCTTGACCTTTGTTCATGATCAAATGTTATAATCTGGTGCCCTATGGACAATCCTTTGCTCAGGAAGGATTTCTCAAAATGGCTACTCAATTCAAAATGTCTTATTTTGAGAATAAGATCTTAGTTCAAGAAGGAATTCTAATATGGTCTCTCAATTCACAATTCTAAACCTCTTCTTAAGCAGAAATTTTCAATATTTGAAATATATTTCTCAGTTTTTATCTAAAATAATTGCTTGTAATGGAATGCATAGAATTATAGCTGATCTCAGTGTGTAAAAGTTGATGTCAGTTTGTTTCATATGTCATTTAAATTGATGATATTTAAGTATCATTAAACAAATATATATCACAATACATATAAAGAGGTACATTCTATTTTTAATATATTATAATTTTTTATGTTTAGGTTTAAACCTTTTCATGTTTCATTTCACATATAAAATTGAATTTACTCTCGCATCTATAGTTGCCCATTGTGTAGTTTCTTGTCGACCATATAACCTGACAGTGTTGGTCATCACCCATTAGTCCTCCCTCCTCATTCCATGGCGCAAAAGTCATCATTCTTGAGGGCCCAGAATGACTCGCTACCCACTGCCACATGCCGTTATCTCCGGCTATCTCCGTCCCACCGACCCAATAAGATTCAGTATCTGGTTGTACGATGCCGTTATTATTTTTCATAAGTCGGTTTTGGATGAAGTTTAACTCCTCCTCGGTTTCTATGGCAACTAGATTTGAGGATACAGCGGTGCAGAATGAGACAGCGTTAATCCAGGACATTTTTTCACGTGTGATTTTTTTTTTTTTTTTTTTTATTTAAAATTTATTAGACTTAACTTATATACAAAAACAGAAAAATTTACAAAAATATTACAATGAGCTCTTTGAGCTGCTATTCATTCAGTATAGACAATAAGAAGTAAAATTATTTCTACACAGTTCTTACAAGTTTTTCCTTTTCTAACATTAATGTTAGGTTACCTTCTCCATTGGATACTTTGAAGTCATGTATGACTTTTTTGATTAACAGGCATTCGTATAATACATTTTTTTCTACTTGAGATATACCAAGTTTTTGATTTTCATCTAAATTCAACTTGGCCCATAAGCTTTTTATGACTGGACACTTCACAAAATAATGCATTGAGTCATCTCTAGCATTACAAAATTTACATTTGTCATTTTGCTCTATGTTACACTTCTTAAGATAAACACCATTTGCATGTATATTTTGGAGTATCTTCCACTGTATAATCAATAAAGAAGTGTCTTTAGTACATTTAAACATCTCACACCATATATCTTGTGTTAAAATATTTCCATTAAGAATTACATCACATTTTCTTGCTAAGACTAACTTCTCCCTGATGTTCTTTGAAGTCAAATTTTTTAAATCTGTGTCTTTAAAATATAAAGTACCATTGCACTGTACTCTAGAAGTAATTTTATCTTGCCTTAGACATGCTTTCAACATGTTAAATTGTAAAAGTGTTTGACCATTTCTTCCTACTTTTTGAGCAAGTTCTTCATATGTCATTAATCTGTTGTTTAAAATAATATCATTTATATATATAACACCATTTTTTATCCAATTTGAAAAACATAGTGGAGATCTGTTCCAAGTTATATCTTTGTTGTTCCATAATATATTTGGATCACTGTACTCACTGTGATTTAACCATGTTGTCAATATTGTTTTGTAGAATGAGTTTAGAATTTCACATCCTTTTAACTCAACACTTGAAATGTTACTGTTAAAAACACTTAGGTTCTTACCCATTGTGTTGTACATATATCTGGGAATGCATTTCCAGTGCCCATTAGTTGGGTTTTGGAGTTTTTTAATCCATAAGATAGAAAATGCTTTTTGCATATCTTTACAGTCAATCATCTTAAGCCCTCCATTTTTATAATCTTGAACCATTACATCACGCTTAACCTTATCAGGACATCTTTTTAATTCATCCTCTTTGAACTTACCCTTTGACCATAAAAATTTAAAAATCATAGTGTTGATTCTATTTAAAATATTTTCTGGCAAAATAAAGGCTTGCATTATATATGCAAACTGTGATAACAATAATGATTTGGCTAGCACTACTTTGCCTATGATTGATACATATCTACCAGACCATGATTTCATTATTTTTTGACACCTACTAAATATTGAGTCTATGTTTTCATTGTTATTTACAACATTAATGGATGTGCTAAAAACAATACCTAAAATTTTTATACAATTATCTGGGAAAAGCTTCCATTTAACATTTCCAACAGTGTCGTTTCTGTTCTTCCATATGCCCAACCACAAGGCTTCAGTTTTACTCATATTAATCTTAAGACCTGACATTTCATAGAAAATCTCCAGTACCGATAAAGATCTCTGTAAAGACTCCGAACTGTTAAGGAATAATGTTGCATCATCTGCATATTGTAATATCTTTAATTCTTCCTCACATCCTGGCATTTTAATACCCTGAATGTTAAGGTCAGAGCGTATTTTACAAGATAATAATTCACATGATATAATAAATAATAGGGGAGAAAGTGGACAGCCTTGACGAATACCCCTCTCTAGCTTGACGTCACCAGTTATCCACCCATTGTGAAGAATGTGATTGTGACTTTTTTTGTTTAAAACATCTACCCATTTTCTTAAACTTGGGCCAAATCCAAAACATTTTAACGAATACATCATAAATTCCTTAGAAATTGAATCATACGCTTTCGTGTAATCAATTCCTAGCATAATCCCTTGTAGCTTATTTGTATCAAGATAAATCATAACATCATCTATGGCTCTTAAAATCTGAGCCGCACTACGTGACTGAATGTAGCCACATTGATCATCATGTACAATATGCTTAATAACATGTTTTATCCTAAGAGCAATTACCTTTGCAGCTATTTTGTAATCTGCATTCGTAAGCGTTAATGGTCTCCAATTTTTTAATTCATTTTTAGCCAAACTCTTTTTAGGTATGAGCACCATTAAACCCTTTCTTTGAGAACACGACATTTCACCTTTAACAAAAGCTGTATTCAATGCATGTACTAAAACTGTGCCAATTTTCATGAAAAATACCTTGTAAAATGCAGCAGAGATTCCATCTAGTCCAGGACTAGCATCATTCTTCATTGACCTAAGTGCTGTTAAACATTCATTATAACTTATATCCCCCTCACAAAGTTGACTCTGCTCTTCAGTCAATTTAGGTATATGTACATTTTGTAAGAAATCATCTAATAGAACAGGTCTAAAAATTACTTTTTTAGAATACAAGTCATTATAATATCTGTTTATTTCATCTATAATTAGTTCTTGCTTTTTCACTACCTCACCATTTGCCAGCTTTATGGAGTTAATACATTTATTATTTGCTCTGGCCTTTTCTAATGATAAAAAATACTTTGTGTTTTTTTCCCCCTTTTCACACCAGTCAACCTTGGATCTCAATTGAGCACCCTTGGCTTCACATGTGGCTGCTATTTCATAACAAAGTTTATGATTATTAACCCTTTTTCTCAGATCAACATTTTCTGGATCATTGGCCAATAAATCACTACACTTTTTCAGATTTAGCTTGGCTATTTTCAAATCATTATGTCTTTTACTGGCTAACAATTTACCATAACATATAGAAAAATCTTTTATTTTGGTTTTACAATAGTCCCATAAAACTTGGGGATTGAGATTATTGAGATTCTGTTTTTCATGTATGAGAATATCATTCATTTGATTAACAAATTCTATATTGGTTAAAAGGCTGTTATTAAATTTCCAATAAAATGGACCTTTCTCATTTACATCAGTTGAAAAGTTCATTAAAATTCCTCTATGATCTGACCCTGGCATATCAAATAACTCAATTGATAATACATTTCCAAAGGCTTTATTATTTGTAAATACATAATCAATTCTTCGGACAATGTTTTGAGACTTGTGCCTCCATGTAAAATCATTTTGATCTGGATGATGTAACCTCCAGGTATCGATTACATCAGTCGAATATATCATCTCATTAAAAGAATCAGTTTCAGATTTATGGTGAGCCATACCGGCTAAATTATCCTTGGAGTCAATGCAGCAATTAAAGTCACCGCAAAAAACAAAGTTTGTTTCATTCATGTTTATATTTAAAAGCTGCTGTTGAACTCTTTTAAAGAATTGGATTTTATCACCTTGTTTATTAGGTGCATATATGTTACAGCATGTAAATTTTTCACTGTCATGCTCAAATTCAATTAGCATCATTCTATCTTGCTTCTGGATGATATTTAGATTTGAAAATTCAAAATCTTTTCTCATCATTATTACCTCTCCCTTACTATGCACTGTTCCTGGGTTATATATAATAGTTCCTCCCCATTCCTTCTTCCATTGATTAATCACATTTTCAGTCACATAGGTCTCCTGTAGACATGCTATGTTTACATGTATTTCATTCAAAAATTTGAAAAATGTGAATCGGGTTAATCTGTTCCGTAGTCCGCGTACATTGCCAGAGTAGATGTTAACCATATTTCAGTTATAAAAAAACAACAACATATTAGTCTTTGTCCTCTGGTGCCACATTTACCATGCTGTGCTTACTTTGCCTTTTGTTCTCTGGGGATATATGAAGATCATCTAATAGCTGTATAGGGGACCCTAGTTTATGTTTTTTGTCAAAGTTTGACTCAATGAGGGGACTTCTTTCCTTCCTTTTGAGTGTTGGGATTGGGATACCACTCGGGGATTTGGTAGCACTCTTCTTAGTAGCATTAGCCTCTTGGGACTTTAGGGTACCAGCTGGTATTGGAGCAGAAGAGATATATTCATCTGCTATCTTGAAGATTTCTGGTGAATCCGTCATTAGAGTTGTTTCATCTGGCCCTAGAGCTCTATCTATCAATTGCTCTACCACTCTTACACCTTTGGCGACCTCATTCTCTGGGCACGTCCTCTGTTCGTGGCCAACTAATCCACATTTCCAACATCTGTTGTCACGTCTTTTTGATCTTGGGCACTCTGATTTTCTGTGGCCTTCCTGGCCACAGCCGAAGCACGTTATCACCCTTTTCTTTGGACACTCGCTTACCGCATGATCTTCTTTGCACAAGCGGCAATTGATGGGCTGGGAATCATGATATATAACAATATCTATGTCTATTAATCGCCCATCTATCAATGGGTCTTCAATGGGGTATTCAGAATAACGTTTCTGTGGCTGTATGATCTTCTTTGCGTAGCAGAAACGGTGACCCGTTAGAATACTTCCTGCCTGGTTCTTATGGTCCTTACTCTTTCTATGGAAACGCACTTCAGACACACGCTGAGCGAATGAATCAACCCACTGCTCAAGTTCAGTATTGGACACATGCAATGGAATGCCGTGTATAGATATTCGGATATCCTTGCTATGTTTGTACTCCAAAGTGTCTTTCTCCAGCTTATAGTCACTAAGTCTATATTGCCTATTCTTAATGAGAACATATCCCATTGATATCAACAGGGCCTTAGATTTGGGACTGTCTGTATATACAATATATGAATGCTGATAAAACTGTATTCCAAGAATGTTTTTTTCTAGAATTGTTTCATTACCTAGATTAGCTTCAGCACCGCTAGTGATTGCATCTCTAAGTTCGAGCTCTGTAATCCTGCCTAATCCTTTGGCTTCTAATTTGATCCATAGATCAACGTTTTTTACCAGTTCCTCTAGGTTTGTCATCATGTAATGTTCGTATATAATCCAACAGAATTTTTAAATTCTTGGATGGGCGATAATCAAACCGGAAGTCACATTTTTTATCGAATTTGGAGACTTACACTGTATATTTTTCCTCCAATTGTCACTCAGTTATTATTTCAGTATCTTATACATACAATTCTGCTTCACAGAGACTGTAGATAAGGTTATTTCCAATGTTTTATCCTAATTTAGATGATTTTTTCCAGGTAGAATATTTTTTCCTCTTGCTACATCAAAAAACCGAACGCGTGATGAAACTGTAGCATGTGTTAAGCTCTTTGACAAATTTAAAACCCGGGGGACATTTAGCATTACCCTTGTCACCCTTGTCTTCTGTTTCTGAAATGGAGAATGGCTGCATTAGAAATACGAATCAGGGATTGAAGAATATTGGCGCAATAAAATAAAAAAATATATGAATATTAAATCTGTATGATAAAATTTTAATTAAATTATCATTATCAGATCTGTTAGTAGAATTTAAATTAAATTATGATCAAGTATGTTAAATGAAGTATGATTAATTTTAAGATCTCATGAATAAATTTAAGATGAAGTATGATTATAGAATCTCTACAATAAGATTTAAGATAAATAATGATAACCATATCTGTATAATAAGACTTGAAATATATGTAGATGCATATATATCAAACCTCTAATTACCATATAAGGAAGTATTTAAAGGCTCCATGATTAAAGTTGTATATTACCTGGTTTCTTTTTGGTTTTGTTTCTGCTTGTTGTTGTTGCTACATTGTCCATGCTCTTGCATTTTTCCAGCTCTTCTCTTGCCTTCTCTAATTGTGTCGTACATTGAGAGAGTACATTGGTTCGTTTTTCTGTCTTATTTCTTCCAGCTGTTGCAACTGTGAACAAAATTACCATATAAGGAAGTATTTGAAGGCACCGGAACTGACTGTGTTTCATTTTGAAATTGTGTGTTTTCCGCCTTAGATTTTTATCCTTTGTCCTTTGAGATTGTTTTACAAAGTGATTGTATGTTATGTGAGAGTTATGCTTCAATTTTTTTGTTCTTTGTCTCTTTTTGCCTTGATTGTTGAGTATAATGATTGGTTTGGTAATTTTATTATGTGAAAGATACGCTTCAATTCTGTTATTTTCTAGTATGTCACCTCCTTTGCCATTTGCAATGTGTTTTAAGAGTACACAGAAAAACCTTTGTATAGTGAACACCTATGGAGCCACAAAAAGTGTTCACTAGAGGTAGGTATTCACTACAGAGGCAATTTTATACAGAACTCAGTGGAGTGAGAAGAGGTGTACACTAGAGACAGGTGTTTACTAGAGAGAGGTGTTCACAAAGACATGTTTTACGAAAGAGAGAGATGTTTACTAAGACATGTTTTACGAGAGAGAGATGTTTACTAAGACATGTTTTATGAGAGAGAGAGAGGTGTTTACTAAGACATGTTTTACGAGAGAGATAGAGGTGTTCACTAAGACAGATCTTGACTTGAGAGAGAGGTGTTCACTAAGACATGTTTTTCTATATGTCATAATAGTTTATGTCTTTATACAGATTTAAGGGATTATGTGTTTTCTTGCGTTCTTTCTTATGTATATTTTGAACAAATGCATAATTATGTAAAAAATCTTTAAATTATGAAATTTTAAGATTTTGGGAAATTAGGTATGTTAATCCAATGAATAATATGAGCCAAAAATGATACAAATGTATTCAAATTGCAAAAATTTGAAATTGCAGATGTCTTTGAATGTAATAAAGCTCCTCAATTTTATTTGTTATTGAAATTTATATCAAAGGAGTTGGGTAAACTAGCAACTGAGAGTGCCCCAATTGAAGTGTGAAAAAACTTTTTTTAAGAATAGGAGAAAAAAACATCAGAAATGCATAGATTGAAGTCTATATTTTTGGGTAGTATTTTTTAAAAAATTTAGAAAAAATTGTTACGGTGTCTGGAGACCTTCAAAGAGGGTGGGGGCCAGAAGGAAAAAAATTCACATATTTTACAACCCTCTTGATGAATTCCAATTTACTCAGCTATGAATGAATGTTTTTGATTTATCTGTCCAGGATTATGTAAATATATATTTATTTGATCCATACATACAATTGATTTAAACAATATGTACAGTTTAGAGGTAAGTAAAGCTTTGAAAGGACATTTCATGCTGAGTCTGGGTGACATTTTTATTCACTGGAGGTAGTAATCCTTTGAGTGTTTTCACATAGAGCATAACAAGTCTCCACTCTAATAAGTGCTTCTTTAGTTACATAAATGTTATATTGTTGCATACAAAGAATAATTTTGATGGAGACTTATTATGCTCGATGTGAATTTTAGAACTTTATAGAAAATTTTGCCTGCCATTTTTGTTGATTATTCAAAATGGCCAAATGCTATTCATGCTGCATATGTAGGAAGCAGGTAAATTCTCCTAGAAAACGGAGAAAGGTTACAGATAAGAAGATTTAGCTTCACAAGTCAAGACTATTGCAACTAATAATAGAAGTGATATTGAGGTAATATAAGCTCAACAAAATATGATATTGGCAGAGGAAAATCATGAAATGTACATTCTGAATTTAAATGAATTAAATAAAGTATTTTCATTATTTTAGGTACTTTTGTTCTCTTTCAGTGTTGCGTGGGAAGGGCGGAATATATTAATATAAATATCTCATTATTGGCAAATTGCCAATTTACTATATATTGTAATTCCAACCTCTATGAGACTAAATTCCTACAGATATTTGTGATATTTTAACCAAAAAGGTATATTTTGGTAGAAAATAATGAATTTTTTAATTTGACCTTGACCTGGGGAATATGACCTTGACCTAAATTTTCATACATTTTTGAAACACATATATCACATAGATTAATAAAATAAAGAGAAAACTTGAAAATCAGGTGGGGCTTAAAATGGCCTTGTTTACCCAACTCCTTTGTGTATATTTTGATAACCTGCTACAATTTAGCCAAAAAGTCAAAGTGAGTGCCGCATCAAAACATAAGTTGATACAATAAAATTAAATTAAAAGTAATTCAGTTCAATGTTGAATCAATAAATGATTTATTATTACCTAATCAATCTTTTTTGGCTTTGTGATTTTGACATTTATTTCATTTTAATTGTCAGTTATGTCAGCAATTGATTGTTTTGCATGGATCAGCTGAAATTGGCTTTTTTATGAATCAAATAGAAACACAGGGGTTCAACTATGCATATCGACAACTGTTAATTTGAATTTTTGACCTACCGGATGTTTGAATATCAAGGATTGTATGTCTCATACTGCACTGTTTTTCTTCAAACTTGTTCCATAAAAAGCAAAACAAATATGTTTCTGTCGGTATATTATTCCGTTATACAGAGTCCCTCCTTTTAGCAGTGTTTGGGACCCCAGCTGTGAGAAACTGCCTCTTTCATCCAAGAACCCATATGCCGCTAAACAGGGACTCTGTATAACAGAATAATGTGACAACATAAATGTTTTTCAACGTGTGTGAGAAATTACAGCGGTATTTTCCTTAAAATTACGAACTCTTGTGAATACAACGCTTCAGCATGTTAGAGGTGCATTTTATGTGTTACAATTGTTTTCATTCTTATCTGTATGTTACAGCTTTTTTTGTTATGGATGTCTTCTGTTTGTTACAGCTACATCCTGTAACATTTCAGAACTCTTGGATCTTGTTAAGCAACCTTCCACCATATCATAGGCTGAATGTCAAGGGTTAAAAATGTTACTGCTATATTTCCTATTTGTAACAGCTGTTTTCCATGTATTACACATGTATTTTTTGTTACAGCTGTATTTTGTATTTTCTATGTGTTACAACTATGTTTTCTATGTGTTACAGCTATGTTTTCTATGTGTTACAGTTATGTTTTATACTAAAAGCTATGTTTTCTATGTGTTACAGCTATGTTTTCTATGTGTTACAGTTATTTTTTATTATACTAAAAGCTATGTTTTCTATGTATTACAGCTATGCTTTCTATGTGTTACAGCTATGTTTTAAAGTTACAGCTATGTTTTCTATGTGTTCCAGCTGTATCTCAGGTGCTAGATAGTCTTGAAGAGATCCAATGTCTGACAGAATGCAGCGATGGAGATCGCGACTTCTTACACAGCGTCTTCGAGGACACCAACCTGCATGCCTTACTAAACGTAAGTCCATATTTCATTTTAACCAACTCTTACATCAATACCATACAACATATAACCATTGCAGGGTTCAAGACTAAGGTTGAAAACACGACTTCCAGGTGGCAATCCATTGGTCAGTCAACATGCGTTTTTCCAAGTCTATTGCCAAGTTTCAAAAGTGACTGCCATTGGCAGTGGGGCAGCTGCCAATTTCAAACGCTAAACCATTGTACCCCCATTTCCTTTAGTCCTTCCAAGACCCTTTGTTAGGCAGGCAATGGGGGACAAATGGGATCTTGATGCTGTAATACAATGAATCAAGCTACATGCATACATGCAAACAAACAGACACCCTAATTAGGTATTTTGAATATTAATTGATCCTCTCATTATGATATCCAGAAAAATCAAAATAAACACAAATTGTATAGAAATATACCAACAATTTCAATTGTAGATTATGTAGGTAAACTACACACAAAATGCTCAAACTATGATTTATTATATTCATGTAGAATTCTGTCTTTAATTTTTTATCCGAGTTTGATAAATAGAGGACAATGTGAGTTTAAGAAAGTATTTAGTGCTGACATCTTTATTTTAAAACAGTTTGATTCCTGCATTATATCAGTACATTTGGCTCCAAAATGATAATTTACTTGTATAGTTAAGTTATCTAAAATATATCTTAATGTAATAATATCTTAATGACAATTGAGAAGCCTAATCTTGTAGTAATTTGGTATACACAGTATCATATTTGCAAGTATGTATTTTATTTTAGCCCATGAATCTCATATACCTATACTATTTAAACTATTACAGGAAAAGTTTTGAAAGGTGCAATATAACAGCATGACAAAGTGTAATATATCAGTGTGATGCATTATCAGTACAATACCAATCCAATTTTTAATGACAAAATTGCATTGGACTCCCAGGTGCTTAAATACTTTAGAAATCAATATGCAATGCTAGACTAAAGGGTAACACTTACCCCCCTTACAATATTGTTTGAATCAATTTTCAGTTGGCTGGATTTCTGGTTTTTTTGTATTTAATCCCTTTTTATTTAAAAGTATGGTACTGTAAGAGTACTATATAGTCTCAGAGGCGCCTATATCATATAGAAATCGAAACATTGGAAAATAGTCACCCTTGAGAAAAATACCATGATGGTCATATTTTAAAATGCAAAATAGAGTGCAAAACAGATGAAATACCAAGGAAAAAAGTAAACAGGCATACAGTTAACATTCTAAATTGTATAGAAATGCAAGAAAATAAGACACTTCATTCAAATTTTGGAGAGAAATTGCATGAAATAGCAATAATTGTCGTGTACATCCACATTATATTCTATCCTATTGATGACTGTAACTGCCTGTGATTGCAGATTATGTCTTTTCTCAAGAGAGAACAATTTACAGAGATTATTTTTTTAAGCACAGAATGGATGCTTTACTCCTAAGAGGGAATTAGACTACATTGTACAGGGATGTAGCCAGCTTTCAGTCAGGGGAGGGGGGTGAAAAAAGTGTGATCGCACCCTCCTGGCTATGCATATGTTGTAGTATATCAATATATTGTATGAAAATATTCCAATGTTCATGTTTTAATATGCAAATTAGAGTGGAAAAGAGTGAAATTAGCAAGGAATTAAGTTACCAGGGATGAAGTATAGATCCTTAATTTTAAATAAATGCAGGAAAAATCAAGTACTTTATTCAAATATTTGAGAGAAATAAAGGAAAATATGTATCTCCAGACAGCTATTTTGAAACGATTGATGAAAAGTCAAGGTGACCCTAGCGATTTTAGTGAGAAATAGAATTCTATAAGCATGATTTCCTAGTGAGGAGAGAACCCGGAGGGACAATAAGTGTATATTATTGTATTGGGGAGGGGGATTCACCATATTTGGGCCAAAGTTGTCAAAAGTGAACCCCCCTGGAAT